TTTAATCAGCTCCCTTTATTGTGTTTCAATTTATTTTAGCTCTGGGGCGATCAGTGTTGTGGCCAAGTGTCGGTGGGCCACCAACCATGACTTTACAGAGTTCACCGCTGGACGATCCAGCTTCTTTCCGTGCCCTCATGATCGAATGCCACATGCCGTCCATACAGATTGAGCATATTGTGACATCAGGTTACACGACAATCGCCCTCCTGGCACATGGGGTGCATGATGAGTCCAAAATGGAAGAATTCGTTGAGTATCTTAGCCTGATCCCAGCTGGTGAAGCATTTTCTACGTTTTCGCCTCAATCAGCTTCGATCCGCAGGGTCCTGAAGGAATGCATCAGCAGATGTGTCCAATCAGGTAGAGATTCCAACACTGAAACCTCATCAGCACCCTTGGTGAAATCCAAGCTGTCGATGGCTGATGTGAAATCCCTCCGAGCCGAGTTCTGTCAGAACTATCCTGGAGAGTTGCTGACACCACAATCGATGCCATCCCTCTCCTTTTTGAGCATTCTGAAAGAAGCCATCGATGGGAATTGCTTGGCCTGGGTACCTTGGAAGAACCGTACATCGGAATCAGATGAGCAGGCATTTCTGGAACATAGACGACCTCGCAATGAACGGCAGCTCCTTCGCTCCTTACTGGCGGAAGGGGAAACAGCGCTCCATGACCAACCGGAGGCGGTCATCAATCACCAGCTCTCCCCAGAAGTAGTTGTGACTCGTTTTCAGGGTCTGATTTCCACGGCATTGGCAATGCTTGGGCAGGCACATCTCCTTGTCCTCAAACGTTTTCATGCCAAGTTCCTTGAGATTGCACTACTCAAACCTAGGGACCAGCACTTACGATCACCATCGCTGACGGAGATCTTGGATGCTGATCGAGTTGCATGGACAGCCGTGGTCGAGCTGCTCTCTGACTCCAAATGGTCACTGAATGATGTGCTGAATGAAGTGGCATTTTGCCGTCAGGTGTTCCACACGTCATTGGCCCCAAGGCCCAAACCTCTGCAGAACCCGAGGGCTGACCAGCCGAAGCGCAAGCCGGAGCTTCCCAAACCGATCCCCAAGAAGCAGAAGCCGGAGCCGAAGGCATCAGCTGTGGACAAGCCTTCTACCCCCGCAGGGAAGAACCCCAAATGGAATGATGCGTGGCTGAAGAAGACCAGTGACGGCAAGGGCATCTGCATCAGATATCACCTTGGCAAGTGCAAGTCAGGCCAGCAGTGCCGGTATGCGCACCAATGCCCGGTGGCTAAAGCGAATGGGGAAGCTTGTGGTGGATTTCATCCGGCCTCCAGGCACAAAGAGTCGCCACACTGACCTTGCTCACAAGTTTCAGTGCAAGATGCATGCAATTCAGAGGAGCCTCCTACAGAAGTTTTTCCCGCGTCTGTGGTTTCAGTCTCCTCATCTTTGCCAAGCTCATATTCTCAAAGCAGAAAGTTTTCATCGCAGAGTACAGCCAGATTTTTTCTTGACATTTTTTCGGGTGCCTCAATGCCAGTGAGCAACGCAGTCCAAGAACTTGCTGGCGATCGGGTGGAACCGGTTGACCTTATTCACGGCTTGGATCTTTTGGATGATGACACATTCGAAAGTTTACTTCGATTGGCTTCATCAGGACGCATTGGGGCAGCACTTGCAGCTCCATACTGCTGCAAACATAGCAGAGCCACCTTGAGACCGAATGGGCCCGCCCCAGTTCGTACCCCGGAGTTTCTTGATGGCCTGCCCTCCAACACGATCCAGCAGCAGATCGCGGTACAAGAAAGCTCGACTATCCATGACAGATCGAGAATCCTGCTATCTGCTGTTGATCGACATGCAGGCTTGATCATTTTGGAGAATCCTTCTACCTCTATGACTTGGGATGACCCCCTCATGTATGAGTGGGTCCATGCAGTTACCCCCTATGCCGCTCAAGCCTGTGCTTGTCAATTTGACAAGGACTGGGCCAAAGCATGGATGTTTGTGTCGAACAGACCAGCTATTTGTCACCTTGCCAGATCTTGTCCTCACCCAGCAGGGACACATGAACCTATTGTTGGAGTCCGTCTCCCTGATGGCGCGTTCAAAAGCAGGCTTACTGCAGAGTACCCTGCTCTACTGGCGCAAGCATTGGCATCGATCATCAGACCTTATTTGACGTCTGGTCACCAAGTGCTACAGGTGGCTGACTGGCAATCCATCTTACCGAAACAACTGTCTTGGCCAGACCCACCAGGTCGAATCGAGGACGGAGGCGGTTTGCCGAGCACAGCACTCCACATGCAATCGCAACGACACGACAAGATGGTGGCATTGCGCTCAAGATGGTTCAGGCGCCTTAGCGACAGCAGACAGTGCCTCAAAGTTACTGCAGCATTGCTGTCCGGATGCAAAGAGCCACCTCTCCCTGAGGATGAGCTCAAACCATACCTGGACGACATGCTCGAGATTCTGGATTGCCCACCAGGTGACTTTCTCCTGGATATCTCACCCGGCCAACCATTTCGCTTACAGTTGTGGCATCGGTTGGCAACATTCTTGCATGATCCTGACGCTGATTTCCTTCTTCAGCTCCCTACAGGAGTGCGCTTGGGGGTCAATGAGCCACTGACTCCCTCTCCAGCGTGGCCACAACATTCTGGTATGCTACCCGAGGAGGTGCCACTTCAGGATTGTAGTGACAGTTGGAAAAGCGCCCAAGATCATCCAGAGATTGTTCGATCCCTAATTCAAGAGGAGCTCGATGCGGGGTTCATCGCGCACGTCCCAGGGGGCATTCCACAACTCAAACAGATGTATTCCAAAACTGCCATAGGCAAGCTGGGCGTGGTCATTGCGCCAGGTCGCTCACCTCGCTTGGTGGTTGACAGCTCCATCAGCATGGTCACCGCCAATACGGTCCTACCCAACCATATGCTTTTGCCACGTATATCAGATGTTATCCAATGTGCCCCTGACAGCATGGCGTGTCAACAGATGACACAACTCACACTGGATGTTGCGAAAGCTCACCGCAGAATTTTGGTTCATCCTGACGACGGCGGCCTCCTGTGCTTTCATGCGAATGGGGAACTATACAGATGCATCACTCTCAACTTCGGTGCTCGTGCCAGCGGCTGGTATTGGGGGCGATTGGCGGGCATAATGGTGAGGTCTTGCCATTCCCTCCTGGCCCATGGTCATGCTCTCTGGCAGTATGTTGATGATCTTCTCGCCTGGTTGGACAAGGTGTCGTCCCCCTTGTGGGCTTCCTTGATTGTGGTTCTCTTGCTGATTTTGGGGGTGGCCATGTCCTGGCACAAAGCAGCACTGTCGGACACTGTGGATTGGATTGGCTGGCGAATCTCTGTCGCTTATTGGACGATCGAAGTCCCCATCGAGAAAATGGAGCGCATCACAGCCCAAATCAGGTCCATACGACGCTCAGAACGTTTGACACTACGGGAGATGCAGTCGCTGGTGGGACGCCTTTTGTGGTTGACCTCAGCGTGGCGTCACCTACGTCCACTTCTCATCCCACTGTACAAGGCTCTGCATCGCATTCCCATTACTATGGTGGGAATGGATCATGTGACGTTTCAAACGCTGACTGCTCACTTGGATGAGCAGCTACAGCTGTGAACCTCATTGACCCACAAGCATCAATCATTGAGAAAGGGCATTACATTGTGTCGCGTCGCCAGCACAAATGTCGTTACGTTGAAACAAGTTCAACTGTTGCACATCAAATCCCGCCGTGTTTGGGTAGGTTTTTCAGATCCTTCTACACCAAACCGGAAACTGGATGATGAAGCTGCTGAAACCCTCAAAATATGGCTACAGTTGCTGACCTCGACACCTTTCTCATTGACAATGAGCCATCCAGTTTGGATTCAAGTCAATGCTACAGCTGACGCTATGGCGTCGCAATCCCTGGCCGGGCTAGGTGGTGCAGCCTTTTTTCCTGATGGGTCTTCGACTTGGTTTCAGTTTCGCATCTCACTTGAGGAGGCTCAGTCGCTATGGCCGTGGATAGGTGACGACATGCAAAAGCACATCGCAGCTTGGGAATTGTTAGCCCAATTTGCCTTATCCTTCTGCATTGCCACCCACTTACCTTGTACTCGTGGGCCAATCGCATGTCACCAAGCCACAGACAATAGCGCAGCAGACGCTGCCACAGCCAAAGGTCTCACTATGACTCCAGCCCTGGCAGCTGTGCTGACTCCATACTTCCAATTTATGCGGCGAAATCAAGTGTATCCTCAAATCACGCACATCCCTGGCAGATTGAATGTGTTGGCCGACGAATTGAGTCGTTTCAAAGAACAGCTCTCTGTTGCCGTTGATCCACGGTCGCAGCAATCCATCCCTTGGATTCAGCTGCTGCAGTCATCAGGTATTGAGATCACCCAAACAGGTCGAAAGTGGCCTTCGTATTTTGACATTCATCTGCGAGAAAAAGGCCAGCTGCAGTCCGCTGACTGGGTGCTTCCATCGATTGTTTTTTGGGGAGTTCTTACTCCGGCTGGTCGATGGTCGAATTGTTTGGTGCTGTTGGAACTCCCCACCTCTACTGGTTGACCCCAACATACCCCGGTCTTTGGGTTGTTGACTGGTGTCAGTTTGAATGGGGGTCAGTTTCTAGGTCTAGCTGTACCAATATTGGACCCGCTGGTTCTAATACATTTTGTACAGATTGGACCTTCTTTGCACCACGCTTAAAACAGAAATCACCTGCGCAGCTGCCTTGATACACATGTTTGGAATGTCATGCACATAATTCTGTGTTAGGGAAACTGAAGCAACGGAAGCTGTAGTATGAACTATATATATGTATATATTTATAGTTATATATATTTATAGTAGCTATATATATATATATATAGTTATACATATATATAGAGTTATATATATATATAGTTATATATATATATTTGTATATATTCATAATTCTATAATTTATAGCCCTTTAGCATATCCCTCTATTAATACTTCGATGGTGGAGACTCAGGGGAGACCAAGGTCCTGATTTGCACCTGGAATTTCGACGTCCCCAACGCTTCGAAGCAAAGTTGCGGCGGCCCGGGAGTTGCTGAGCTGGAAACGGAAAAACATTGGGTTCTGTATGATTGTAACTATATAACATTTATATAACATTTATATAACAATATAACTATATAACTATAAAACTATATAACTATATAACTATATAACTATATAACTATAAAACTATATAACTATATAACTGTATAACTATATAACTATATAACTATATAACTATATAACTATATAACTATATTTAATATTATATTATATTATATTCTATTGTATTGTATTATATTATATTATATATTATATTAAATATATATATATATATTATATTATATATATATTATATTGTATATATATATTATATTATATATATTATATTATATATTATGTTATATTATATTATATTATATTATATTAAATTATATTATATTATTTTATATTAAATTAAATTATATTATATTATATTATATTATTGTTATTATTATTATATTTTTATTATATTATATTATATTAATATTATTTTTATTATATTTTTATAATATTATTTTATTATATTATATTATTTTATATTATATTATATTACTATATTATATTATATTATGTTATGTTATGTTACATTATATAGTTATAGTAGTTATAGTAGTTATGGTAGTTATAGTAGTTATAGTAGTTATAGTAGCTATAGTAGTTATAGTAGTTTTAGTAGTTATAGTAGTTATAGTAGTTATAGTAGTTATATTAGTTATAACAGTTATAGCAGTTATAGCAGTTATAGCAGTTATAGCAGTTATAGCAGTTATAGTAGTTATAGTACTTATAGTACTTATAGTACTTATAGTCGTTATAGTATTTATAGTAGTTATAGTTATATTTTATATATACATATCTATCCATCCATCCATTCATCCATCTATCTAGTTATCTAATGTCAATATGAAGGATGTTTACAAGATTGGGCCGGGCTACTTTGGCATACTTTAACTTGATTGTCGAGTTTCTGGAACTGCTCTCCACAGCGGCTTAAAAGGCAAAGGCTTGCAACCGGCTGGTGCACTCAATGCAGTTTTGTGGTTTGTCTGCGAGTCCTAAGGTTTGGGAGTCAGGTTGCACTACAAGACGCTTCGCACGATTCGGTGTGTGAACCACACAAGACACGTCACGACACGTCCGGTTCATTTGTCCTTCTGAAACGTTATACCAACTGGCGAACACAATCCCAGGAAGTCATCCATGGGCGTGTTGGTCAGTGAGAGACTTGCCTGCATTAAATGTGTTTGTCAACTTTGTCAACATTGTCAACTTTTTGACAAAGCAAATTCTCCATCTCAGCAAAATATGAAAAAATCCTCATCAAAATGCTTTCACTCGATTATCATTGGAGGCTTCATGACCTTCATGGCAGCTCGAAGTTGTTTTCGTACATTTTCGTTCCTTCTTGGGCAATGCACAGCACTTTCTTTTGCGATCTTGCGACGGTGAATTGCGTCCTGTCGTGTCCTGTGATGGACCGCTGAGGGTGCTGGAAGATGGACTGGCAACTGTTTGGAACATCAACAACCCCACGCGAGTCATTGCTGCTGGTGACCGAATCCTCGAGGTAAATGGTGAAGCGCTTTCACCAGAGGACTGATTGGGAAGGCGAACCCAACTGCAGCATTAGACAAGTTTGAAGTCTTGAGGTGATGAAAAAAGAAGTGCAATGTTGGTAGCTCAAAGTTCTCCAAAGAAACTTAAGAGGATGTGTCCACAAGCAGGTACTGGGAGAGATGCGAGAGCCTTTGGAAGAATAGCATACAATGTTGTCCGGATTCAAAGTGCCCCTCGAGCAGTGCATTACAGAAAGCTCGTAGACAACGTACTAAAGTGGGCATTGTTCAGGAGATGGTTGAAAAGCCTGGCACTCAAACTGAAGCGATTCCGCTTTCTTGAAATGTCCTTGCAGTAGTAGGTTGCACTTGACGAAGCTTGAGGAATGGTTTGCTTTTTGCGGCGGGTTACTTTCTACTTAGCCAGCTGACAGGCTCTCATTGGAGGAAGAAGTATCATTGCTTGTTCTGCACTACAATCAGGACCAAGCCAAACGGTTTGCATCATTTTGTATGCAGATCGTCCTACCTAGTCATACCTAGTCATACCTTACCATATTTTTGTACGCTTTGCACACTGCACTACCTTTGCATGGCCGATAGTCATCCCATAGTCCTAATCGCATCGCATCAATCGCCTTCCTAAAGCGGCGGGTGTTAGCTGTCAGGATCCGATTCCAATCCGAGGCAGGGATGCAAACGGGCAGACTCCAGGTAGACTCCAGGTAGACTAAGCATCTGAGTTTTAGGTGTCACAATGATCCAGGAAAAATATGGAAAATCAGATAAGAACACACAGATTTCGGTGGATTGCTCTTCATTCTTACCATCGTCACCACACTTTTGTCGACGGATTTTTTGAAGGCAGTGAAATGCTGTCATTTGGTGTGTTTTGTTGCGACAAAAAAAAAATCTGACATCCGAGGTATTTAGTTTCACCGCCGCTGTACAGTACAGCAACCACGACATCCAATACGGATATTAATGTCACTTCAGAACCCTTGAGGGTCCTAAGTGGCAGTATTTGAAGTCGACTGGGCAAGCATTGCCACCAGAGAGTGGCTGAGCTTTGAACAGATATGTTTTTGCCAAGTTCTCAAACTCCACTGCCTGTTGTTTTGGACAGTCTGCGACGGGAATTGAACATGGCAAAGTCAGTTGCGTTCCTTGAGAGATTTGAAGTCCTTGAAAGCATAATGACCGAAGTGTCGTTCTGCTCGTTCTGACACCAGGACGGCTATCGGGGACGGAGCAGACACAAGAAATGATGTAAACCGGTTTGGACATTTTTTTGCACCTCTCGAAGAGAGGGCAATCTTTCACGTTTTCACCCATAGAATTAACCCCCCCATATGTGCTTTATGGATGATTTTCTTTACATTTTTTTTGATCATTCTGTCAGATGGCTTGCAAAGCAATCCCAAGCACTGATCATGCTCAGTTTTGCGTTGCCTTTATTGATTCTATGGTTAATTTGTTCATTGGCTCAATACCACTTTGTCGCTCTGACATGTAGTGAGACATTTTTCACACAGATTTTGAAGTATGAAACATGTGCAATCAATGTCTCACCACCTGTTGGATGGTGTATTGCAAGCGGCCTTATAAAGAAAATCAAATGTAGGTCGTGCATGCCGCATGATGATATTGTTTTTGTCGGATTTGTTTATCAAAGTGCTCCACAACGAACAACCGCCTAAAAAATGTAGTGAATATGGGCAACTTGTTGCCTCGCTGCTCAATTCTGTAGCATGCAAAAGACTTCTCATGGCTCACACATTCGGCCAGCTCAGCTTGACTGATGGACTGCATACCAGAGGACCCGAAGTCTTTGGCCCTCTCTTGCTACAATTCTTGCAGTCAGCGTGATGAAAGTAGAGTAGGACTTATCAGGAAAGGCAGCCTAGGCTACCTGAGTTTCATGTAGTTTAGTAGTTTTTGCTGGGTCTGCCTTCAGTCACTGGTTTTTGTCCTTCAAGTATGCCCTCCCCCTTTCGACTGATTCGGTCCGGGAGATTCTATTCATTCAGACTTAGCTGGAAGTCGAAGAATGCAAGGCTGTGTTCAAGACATCCTTAGCTGTGAATAAATGTGAGCGGGGGCATGCTCTTCGTTACAATTCTAATACCAGATTCCTACCTTTCGTCCACCCCTTTGATGTTATGTTTTACCAGTGCGTCTCTGCTTCAAATGAACTGCCACGCCGTCTCGCTCGAGAGCAATTTCCAAAAAGACCTAAAAAAACCAGGCAATCCTTTTTGAATCCTTTGATTTCGGCAGATTTTCCTCCACAGGAGCCTTCGCCAGTGCGAAACGAAGGTGACCGCTTTTTACCCTCTGAAGAGGACTCTCAGCTGGATTCATACAAGCCACGTAACATACCGGAATACCTCAATATCCTCAATTCTTTTTCCAGATTGTACAATTACCTAAAGATCTTCGCCTGATCATGGTGGTAGGGCACTTGACCAGAGCAATGGCAAGCAGTAACTTATCAACTCTTTTTGTGAATGCACAGAGCGAAGTACAGGAGACGAGCGAGTTTTCTTCTAATGCTTCTGCCGCCTCTCTGAGCCGACAATGTACCGAGTTCAGCGATGTGGTGGCACAGGATTCTCCCGTTTCTTTGGTACTTTCCATTTTATTAATTTTCCATGTACTTCATGTGCCTTCATTTGCCTTCATGCACCTTCACGGACCTGCATGCACCTTCACGTGGCTTCATGTACTCTGTGTTTGTTTGAGTTTCTTCGTGCCTCATATTTGAAGTCTGGAAGCAGATCTGTCGTTCCGCATGCCTTGAAGGACTTGATGTCACGCCAGTTGACTGACTTTGCTGCAAGGCAAAGTCCCTGTGACTTCCTTTGTACAGAAGGAACCCCCAAAGATTTGAAGATTCCGATACAGATGCTGTAACGACTGTAAGGTGCTGTAACGTGCTGTAACGTGCAGCAATTGTAAAACGAAACAGGAAATCCAAGGCACACAGACGTCACAGATGCCGCCAGAACCTGGCCAGGCAAGGAGATTTTTGGGTTCGAAAATGCAGCGAGCCTGTACCATTCAATGGGGCAAGAGGCTTGGACATCAAACCAGGCACGCTTCAGCATGCAGCATGATATTCGGAGGGAACCACCAAACAACATGCTTGCATATGGTTGCCAAAACTGAAGAGCTATTCAAGCTGCTTTGGACTTGTGCATACTTGCGCATGACAATTTACTTTGCCCTGAGTGGGAATAGGGCAGATACCGCAGGTGATATTTTCCGACAGACCTCTTGCCCACCTATGATGCGTTCGGAGGCAAAACCTTTCAATCCGTGTGCTGCAGTCAAATGCATTGGGTTGCAGCTGTTGAATATTAAATAGCATTATATATTTGAAACCATGATCCTTTAAAGGAATTGTAGTTTCACTTTCTCAAGTGTCATGGCGAAATGACACCTTCGAGGGCCTGTGGAGAAGCTAGGAGAAGTACTGCACTATACTGACTATACCATACTATACTATACTAAACTATACTATACTCTACACTGCAATATAAACCAATATAATATATATATATGTATATATATATATGTATATATATATATATATGTATATATATATGTATATATATATAACAAAATACAAAAAACATGTGATAAATGTAGTTGTCTCGCCCTGCGCCGACCCAGTTGGGACGGTCTCCATCAGGGCCTCTTCAAACAGCCCATCCACGAGAATGAGGAGCACGAGCTGGAAGAGCCCGAAGTGGAAGAGCCCGAAGAACAAGAACTCGAGGTCGAAATTGCCACATTGTATCACATTGTATCACATTGTATCACATTGTATCACATTGTCACGACACATCACATAAGGTTTGTGGTTATGCAAATAAGTACCGGAGATTCAAGACACTGGAAAGGTATACTGCAAGCTGAGCACCTTTTCGAGCATTGCGTGTTCAAACCAGTGGAAATCTGGATAGGTCCAAAATTATACGAGCTAGTCTCGTTCATAAAGGTGCCCAAAGCACAGGTTCCACCTCTAGTTCCTTTGTTTCAAACTGGGCAGATCTTTTGCACACGGTGTCTACACCAGGGCACATTTCGCCTGAGATGTTATTTCTTGCAGCAAAGCGTTGTCACGTTGTGCCATGGCCATCATTTCGCCATGTGTCCTTTTCAGGAAGAAGAGGAAGATGACTTGGTCTCTCGTGCCATTTGTTCTGCAGTGGCTGACTGCAAATACAGCGTTTCTTGCCTGATAGCTGAACAAGCCGTCTCTTGAAAGAATTTCACATGCTTTCAAGCAGTGATCTAGTGATCGCTCCCTTGCTGCGAACAGGATACACCTGTGACCTTAAGACCCCGAGTCAATTTTATGCGGAACCCCCCCTTCCCGTGTGACTTGCATATCTTGCGTGATACTGATAACTCATGATAACTACGTAGAGAAGTTCTCTCCTCTTTTGGAAAGCTGATAGAATCTGATGGAATTGGCAAAGGAAGTGCCGAGTGCCATTTTTGTGTCATGCGACTCATGTCCTTTTTTTGGAGGTCGCCGTGGCTGATCCCACCCAGCTCGACACGGAATTGATCGTGCGGTGCTCATGAATTGAGAGTCTGCAGGTATATTCTGGAGTTGGAGGGTCTCCGAGACTGGAACGCGTTAAATTGCAAATTTGATGTGTATTTAAAGTGTAAAAAATGTAAAGCAAGATTTACCGATGGATGAAAGTGGACTTGTGGGTCTCATGCCGAACCCTTGGAGACGGAAGCTTGCCACATGCTTGAAGCAGCAAGCAGATGCAAGCAGATGCAAGCAGGCTGTCTCAGAAGGCTTTGAGAACTTGACTGGCTACACACGAGAGGAGGCAGTTGGTTTGCGGCTTAGCCGTGGCCAGACGTTGTGAAACTATGTGAAACTACTAGACATCCGGAACAGATGATGGATATTATGTTTTTTCTCGCTGACGAGTGGCACTTGACCCGGCAAGATTCTGTTGCACAGAATTCAACTGCAGCGGGATAGTTTGACTTTTGGACCAAAGGGATGATTCGTTGCCAGATCATCCGAGGGTTGGGTGGTTGGGGGTAGCTGGACTATCAAAGCGATTTGCGCGAGAAATCCAAAAGGATTCTTCCTCTTGCAGTGATTGATTCCTCTGACTGTTTGGGCGCCTCAAAAGCTGCTACAGCCTCGGCCCCCTCTGTGTAAGGTTCTAACTGCCGCTTCCTCTCAGATGGTTGTCAACTGCAAGCCACGGTTGCTGAAGCACTGCGGAATGCTTCTGACAGCGGGGCGTTCCTTGCCAACAGAGCACAGATCAAACCAAAGTCACGACAGGTCTTGTTTGAGTCAGCCGATGCTTTGTCAACTTTCTGAACTCAGGCCCTACGTGTCTCTGCTTGTGAACAAGCGCAAGACAGGCACTGGCTATGCGCTGCTGTAGTTTGGAAGTCTTTCACTATTTGCAACACAGATTCTGCCGCTTCGAAGTTTCATATGAATGAATCTGTTACATTCTAATTAAGCAGCATATAAAAATATGCGGCAAGTTTTTGGAGGCATGAGGCTTTCACAGATATAAAGTCCACGCCGCAGCATTTCATGTATTTTCATGTATTTTCCGGAATACATTCCCTAGACGATAAGACAGACACTGAGCACTGAGTACTGTATAGACCAAGGTGAGCTCTTTCTCAATCTGTTGTCTATCCGTGGACTGGTATTGGCAAGAGACGTCAAGACTGGCGAGGTGCGGCTTCTGTTAGTGGTCACCGAAAAGACTAAAAGTAGCTGGTGACAGCTCACGTCGTCTCACGTAGCAGTTGCGTTTGCCAACGTTGCCCTCGCGTTCAGGAGATTTGGATTTTGGTGAGTGTGCAGCAGGATGTGACTGGCATAAAACCAGAATCACTCACTTCAAGTAACGATGCCTTGCTGTCCAAGGCTGCACTGGGACAGTTTTGAGAGAAGGGAATATATTCGGAATGCGGGGGATTTGGGGATTTAGGAGCATGAAGCCATACCAGCCATACCTGAGATGCAGAAAACATTCTTGTCCTGCACTGTCACTCTACATATCAACGCATCAAAATGATTCAAACTGTATCTAAAGGATTCTAAAAGCATGTTGGCCGTTGGAACCTTTCTCTGGCTGGCAGGTGGCTAACCGCATTCTGCGGAGGCTACTCAAATATGCGACAGAGATTGGCATCGCCAGCCTAATTCAGGCAAAGAGAGGCTGGTTCAGTGGACAACATTGCGGTTCTTCCTGTGCAGACAACTTCAGTTCTGGCTCGTTTTTGGGGCCATTTGCAGCTTTCACCGATTGGGCTCTTTGATCCATTTCTACTTTTTGATTGTGGGTAGAGAACAGTATACTTCGTTGGGTGCAGAACTAATGCAGCGAGACCTTTGCAGGCCGTTCTAGATGCAGCAATCATCAGGAGGCTCAATGAAGTTCGCTGCAAAGTTCGTTGAACAAATGTTGCAAGCATCAGCATGTTGTGCAGTTCCTCTGCCAGGGGATGCACTTACTTTCCGACATCGTGTGGAAAGATGGGGTGAGCTTGGGGTTCCTTGGACGAGCGGCCGAATTCAGTGCTATTTTGATCCGCTTTTGTCCTAGGGTTCATAAGCTACAACATACTACAACTTACTACAACTGCGCAAATCATAGCAATCCCGACAGAGAGCTCAGGTGTAGGGCCTTTCTCTAAATTGGTTGCACTTGATCAACTTGATCATGATTGCTATATATCATATATCATAAGCGGATTCACAAACTAAATGTCAGGTTTCCGAAGGGAGGTTCTGGAACCCACCGCCCAAACAGAAGCTTAAACCCCATGGCTTGACGTTGACATCGTTGACCTTCACATAGATCAGCTGCTGGGTGAAAATCCAGATCTCCTCGTGAACATCCAATGAACAGACCAACCGGACTAACATGAACTAACCATTACTGTATTTTTAGATGTTCACACAATCAATCTTTGACCCAACGTTTACAATCATTCCGCAGAACGAAAAACATGTAGCAATGTAAAACTCTGGTTTCCAGCCTTCTCGCATTTAAGAACATGAGCGTTTACTTTGAGTCTATTTCGTATTGATGTGGCAGTTTGACTCATAGATGAAGAAAAGGCAATTCTTTGCGAACACTAAAAGAATATATAACATTTTATTTTATCAACAGTTGTGGTTTTTAAGTCTCAAAATAGTGTTATGGAACAGAACAGGAGACGAATCTACACCTCTTTATCCGTTCGTAGTTTTCGTGTCGAGATGCCACGAGGGTCATTTCCTTGTTTCATCTTGTTTGTTTCCTTAGAAATTGAGCTATTCCTACAGTTCTTTGGCGACTTAGTGTTGCCATGGTGGCTGTTCGTCGATACACCTCCTTATTATCTTCCTCTACCTGGTGTGAAGCCTTGGCACTTCTGGAACAGATGATGGATGAGGAAGTGCAAGTGAACGAGATTACGTACAACGCTGTCATTAAGTCGTGCAGAAAGGGGAAGGAGTGGAGACGTTCCTTGAACGTATTGAAACAGATGATGGAGAAAGACCTTCCAAGAACAGTTGTGACCTACAATAGCTTGCTCTCGTCAAATCTGGAGTGGCAGCAAGCAGAAAAGTTGCTGAAAGATTTACAGAAAGTTTTGCAGGTCAGCATCATCTCGTACAATAGTATCTTGAATGTCTATGGCCAAAGCGGGTGCTGGGAATCAGCCTTGCTTTCAGCGATAAAGCTAGAAAGACGAGGGATGCACACAGAACTCTTGACGCAAAACACCGTTGCAACTGCATGCGAACGATGCAAACAGTGGCGAACTACACTGGCCATTCTGGTCTCCATCCAAAAGGAAAGGTCCAAGGTTGATGCATTTTCTTGCAGCACAGGAATCAATGCATGTGGAAGATGCGCCAAGTGGAGGAAAGCCATTGATATTCTGCAAACCTTTGGCCATCGCAAGGTTGAAGCAAATGTCGTTTGCCAAAGTGCAGCCATTGCAGCGTGTGAGCGCAGTGGCCAGTGGCAACTTGCAATGGAGCTTCTGGCTCCTGTACAACCGAATCTGGTCATGTGCAATGCTGCGTTAAGCGCATGTGCGGAAGGTGCACAGTGGCAACTGGCACTGGAACTTCTTGTCTCCATGCGATATGATAGCCTTCAAGCCGATGTGATTTCATACAACTCACTCAGTTTAGCATGCGCTGTGGCAGGACACTGGCAGACGGCGTTAAGCGTTGTTGAAGTTTTGGAATCAATGAATTTGCAGCGCAACGCTCAATCATATGGCATCCTTCTCTTCTGTCATAGTTCCACTTCTCACTGGCAAGATGCTCTTTGCCTGCCGCTTCAAGACCTTTTCAGAGATATCGTATGCTGCACATCTGCCATCGGAGCTTGCGCTTCCGCTGAGCAATGGCAAAGAGCCTTGCACCTTCTTCAGGAAAGCTACCATCAACAACTGGAGGTGGGAAAATTGAACTCTGTCGAGTTTATCACATTTGTCACTTTATCACAACATATCACGATAGATCGCAGCACTGATGACACTGTATGTGTTGTTCGGCAGTGATTTCCATTTCACCACCTACACAGAGTGTCATTTTGCACTTCAAATTAGAACTGAAATCAGAGTTGATTCGTCGATATTCTGACTGCTTTTCGTGCCGGTGAGTATGTTTTTCATAACTTGCTTCCTGTTTGATTTTCCATTGCTGGTTTCCCACGCATTTCACTAATCCTGTTTGGTGTGATGCTCATGCTACACTCAAGTTCAACATAGTTCAACCGTGTCGAAGATTAGTAGGCAGCCAGGCATCTCTTGACATCCACAGGCCAATGCCGTCACTTACACTGTCACGCTTTCTGCCTGTGAAGACGGTGGGCATTGGCTTCAAGCGCTGGCCTTGCTTCAGGAAATGCGCTTGAAAAAGCAAACGAGTTTGATGGCGCACAATGCAGCTATCAGTACATGTGAGAAGGTGGGACTAATGATTGGAAAGATGTTGAAAGCCTGCTCAAGTGTTTGCAGCAGTCTTGGATTACATATCGTGTATTAAATATATGTATTATACAATATCTATATTATATATACACGTGATTATATGTATATGTATATGTATCTGTATATGTATGTGTATGTGTATGTGTATGTGTATGAGTATGTGTATGTGTATGTGTATGTGTATGCACATACATGTATAGGGCTACGCCACCTGCTGCACACCATCAAGCTGAGGACACAAAGTTGGGTCAGGCACTCTTGTGCGTGGTGTTTACAGATTGCAGCTTGCGACTGTTGGGCTCCAAACTCCACCGCTCAGGGCTTGAACACGTTGCCTTCGCCACACCGTACCATGCCAGTAAAGAACGACACGGGCCCGCGGCCTGAAGCCTATCGCTTTCCAAGCAAAGAAGAAACTAGCTCCAAACGGCAGTCTGCAGACTCAGAAACGCTGCCCCCGCCACTCCGAAACAGCGTGCCCGTGAAGGTCTTGCTTCTTCTTGTTTTTTTGTTTCCTTTCTTCTTGCGCTTGCTTCTTTCTCTTGCCTCTTTAGCTTGCTTTTTGTTTCTTGCCTCTTGCTTCGTCTCATTGCTTTCTAGTTTCTTGCTAGCTTGCTTGCTTCCATGTTTTGATTTCGCTTCCTGGTCTTGCCTATTGCTGCTTGCTTCTTCTCATTGCTTTCTAGCTTTTTGCTAGCTTGCTTCCTTCCATGTCTTGCTTGCTTTTGGCTGAGGCCTCTTTCTTTTTGCTTCTTGATCTTGCCTCTTGCCTCTTGCATCTTATCTTTCCTCTTGCTTCTTCGCCTTTTTCGTGCTTTAGCTTCTTGCTCCATCTCTTGTCCCGTCTTCTCTGACGTGCTCCCCCTGCTGTCGGCAGGGATCGTTGGATATTTATTTATAACTATATACAGTGATATTTATATAGAGTTATATATGTTTATAATAGTGTATACATACATATATTTCTGGGAAGTCAAGGTAGCACAAAGGGCCATCTGACACTGTTGGTCAAAGTGCTTAGTGTTCAAAATTCAAGAAAATGTTGATAGGATTCTCACGTACCGTACACTAGATTCCATGGGTCGCCTGATTCTAAATTACTCTGCCAGGCAGACCAATGGGTTTGGGCCTTGATGATCCTCTCTGATTTGTTGCCCGACTCCTTGGAAGCCGATGTCATTAGTTACAATGCTGGTGTCGCTGCATGTGAGAAAGGATCCCAGTGGCAGCAGGGCCTTTGGCTACTGTCCGAGATGCAGCTGGCTTCATTGTTGGCGAATTTGATCACCTACAATGCAGCCATCACTGCATGTGCAAACTTCCTGCTTTGGCTTCAGGCTCTAAGTCTGCTTCACCAGCTAGAAGGGCGACAACTCAGGGGCAATGTCCTCACTTTTGCTGAGGTCTTGCGGACGTGCGATGCAACTGATTTGCATGCAGACAATCTATGTCCGAATTTGTTTGAACTGCTCGCGGGAAGATCTCAAGCAGATCTTCGCGGCCAGTGCATGAGCTGAGGGAATCCGTGCAACTTTGTTATCGTTGACAAACTTTGCAGCAGCAGCAGCAGCAGCTTCGTCATGCTTCCCTATGTTTTGTCCTTGTCACTTGCAACCTGTGCAGAAAATGGATGCCGCCTGCCACACTGGAGACTTTGTATTGGAAACACCTCTTGTTTTTGGAAAACTTTTGATGTGAAACAAGTGAAAAGACTCAAGAGGGATGGAATCTGCGGTCCAGGAATTCAGTGCCTTTGTGCTTCCCTTTGTTGTATGTTTATGCTGCAAAATGACGACTCTGAGGCTGCCACCATGTGAAGTGTTGGCGTGCCTTGGCGAGAGACGCAGCTGGCTGTGAAACAAGCAGCAAGCAGTCGACGCGGTTGTCATTCTTAGAGTTCCATATACTGTACTTGATTCGCTAGAATGTCTTGCTTTGTGTCTTGGATTCCAGATGGTAATTATTTAGTTTCCGCCTTTTCCAAGGAACCATCACCTTTGAGACATCGTTACATCTTGGGTGTTCATTTGATACAATCTATCCACATGCAATTTTGTTTCAGAAACTGTTCCGCAGTCTCCTTCAAAAAGTGTTATACCTGCTATACAATCGTACAAGGAACAGGAGGAACATACTTTGACATGTAGATGTGGATGTGCCCTGATGGTTGGCCGACCCCACAGTCTGTGACGTCGTTGACAGGTCCTTACCGTCGGAATTTGCCCACCTTGCTTTTAGAGAGCCTCCCAAGCCGCTGGGAGCAGAGACTTGGCCTGAAATCTTTCCTGATGCACTGCACAACTGCACATCGTTGGATCAACTTAGAATAAGAGCCACGCAGCTACAATTTCTCATGCTAAGACAGCATTTTGAGACTTGTTTGCCGATGAGACTTTTTAATGCGGGAATTTGACTATGGAGTTCTCCAGAAAATACTGCCCCATCAAACGAAACACTGATGGAATCAGGACAGCAAAATGCTGATTTGGCCCCTTCTGCTGTGTTCAGCGACGGTATCTTGTCAGCATTTTTTGGGCAAACGTCATTGAACCTTCTCAGAAGATTCTCCAACCCCGTGTGAGAAACTCTCACTGAGGCCGTCTTGGTGATACTTCTCCAGCGCAAGCGGGGATGCATCACAAGATGACGTTGAAAATAGTGCGATATTGATGCAGATGCCAATTTATCAGGTTCCTTGTTGATTTCAGGCTGATTTTCATGCCCAAAGCCATGAACTTCAAAGGCTTTCTTACAGACTCTGATTTTTGGAGCGCACTTGTACAGCTTCGAAATGGAATGAAAGGGATCAATGACAAGCAGCTCTGTGATCTAACAGGGTACTTGGTCGTTTTTGCCTATGCCTATGCTTTATGAAGAATTTGGGAGGGAAAAACATAATATCAATTTTCCTGCAAACAGATCAGGCCTTGGATCTTCAAAAAGCAGCCAAATCGTAGGCTTTTAGCCCCAGATGGTGAGGAAACATGGGCCCAAATCTGCCAAGACTTTCATTGGACAGATCTCATAGCCTCAGCTAGTCTCAGATCCCTCAGCTTCAATGTAGCCGTGCTATGGAGAGCTCAGCATGTCCGACGTACTGGTCGTTTACTTAGAGACAGCTTCCTGCAATGCAGGCAAAACAAGGCCGTTTAGGCCATTTGCATCATTTGTGGCTCATGTGGACTGAATCATGATCAGCAATTTGCCAGGCAGGTTTGGCCAAGAAGATTTTTTTATCCCACTGGCTGTTTCTGGAGATCATAGAGACGGAGGAGGATCACATACGAAGTCCTCGCTAAGGAGCCAGACTTTCTCACCGCACTCGCTGCACACTTTCCAGAGGCATGATCTGTGACAAGGGTCCAACTTGACAAACATACCGTGCTGGAAACTGCGTGCAGCGGATTCCTGCGATGCTGCCAGGTGTAGCTGGTTTCAAGTCTCATCATACTATCTTTTTTTTTTGCTTCTGTCCTCATTTGTATATACTTGATTGTGGATCAGGATAATTTTAAGTATGACGTCAAACATGATTCAATGATGTGGATTGGATGAATTCCGTTTCAAAGCCTTTAGAATCTTGCTCCTTGCCTTGTTCCAAGGCAATTTTGACAACCAGCTATCTTTCAGGCTGGCTTCGTCACGAAGCTCCCCACTGCGAGGTGGATCTATAGTTGTCGGGCCGAAAGTGAACAGATGTGAACTGTTTTTCTATGTTTTTCTTGATTGTTGATATTATAGATATTGTTGTATTTTCATGCAACATTGGAGTGCATTGGAGTGCACCGGCGTAGCAGTTCCTGAGTCTGCAGAACGCAGAGGAAGGATGGTGTATGCCGACGCTGAGTGTTGAGTGCTGATTTTGTTCTCAGGTAAATATGTTAGATTACAATTTGTATACATGCATGTGTATGTGCATCTACACATACAATAATGTACATACCTTGCCTTTCACGACAAGGACGGTATATCAGGAGAGTGAGAAGTGAATGAGAAGCGAATGAAGAGTTTTTCAGGCCCGGATATGAATATTTGGCCCTGGTGCAGCGTGTGCATCAAGGCGTCCAGAGCTCAGGAACTGCCTTGCCTACGAGAGACTTGCTGCGTGGAAACAAGCAAAACAAGCAAAACAAGCACTCCTTTCTCGTTTTGGCATGTTTTGGCAGTGTACTTCTACACTTTGCTCTTGGAAATTCTCAGATGTCTCTTGTATTCTCTTGTTTATTCTTGTTTTTAGAGTTTTATTGAAGTCATTGGAGTCACAGTTTGGGCGCGGCTCCAATATTCCGCGAGGTCTCCCTGCAGGTCACAGACTGCGAACAGGGCCTCTTCCGTCAGAGCCTGGACGCGCCAAAGCTGCAGCAACTCCGGAAGGATGCAGGCGATTCACTGGGATGCGCTCGGTCGATCTTTGGATCAGCTGTGATTGCACTTTTGCACTTTCCAACTGACTCCAACTGTTTTGGCTTTGATGTGCTTGCCTGTGTGCCTTGGCATTACGGCAATGGCATCAATTGTTGCTCAGTGCCGGATATTAGAACACGTTGGACATTGTCGTGTTTCAGGTATGGCAGAGTTTGCGTGGCCAACTTTCCTTCGCCTACTTGCGCAGGCGTTGCGCAGTGAGGCGCGACATGGAGATGATTTTCTTGGCGAGAAAGGATTGGTCTAGAGTCTACAGCAATGAAATATGCTTAGATAAGTTATCTATAAGATCTCATATTCGAAGACTTAGTGGATGCTGTTGCATAAGAGCATGGGTGCGGAGGGTGTTGCGTTCCGACCGTCTTAGGATGGATGCACCACGGCCGTGCCAGCTGACGGGGTCTTCAAGTCAAAGCTGGGACCTCATGTTGAAGCCTGCAGTGTGCCCTTAAAATGCAACAAAGTGCAGCGCATTGAACAAGATCAATGGGAAAAAATGATTTGCATTTCACAGACTTCCTTTTCTCAACTCCCATATCAAGGCAGACCAAATAATCCCATCCCCCTCATATCAAACACCCCTTAAATGTAAATCCGCAACCAAACCATGTTTTTTTTTGGATTTTAATGTTAATTTGGGGGGGAAGGGATTGCACATTAAGAGATCATTGTGAAACCATTTGAGATCGCATCATGTGAGTCATGTCCTGTCTTTTTTTTCCGAGGCTCTGCTTGGAGCTCCGCTTTCGCTTGCAGTCTGCGGTGCTGCTGGCTCGCATGGAGATGGAGGCAAAGCTGGTGAAGCACAATTTGTTCTTAGAAAGACCAGCAGGTGCTGCACAATTTCGGATGCTTTCACTGTTCATTTTCATTTCATCTTAAATCATGTTCAATCATTCGGAGGCTGCAGCCACGATGCCGGCAGTTCCCCCAGAGGCACAAAGTTTCCTGCAGGACATGGAGTGGCACGAGTCTGATAGAGGATTTAACTTAAATTTAGAGATGCAAATTGTGTCAGTTGCCACATAAAACGGTCTTCAGTCTTTAGGCTTCAATTTATATGCCTTTGTCTTCATTGGTTTCCTTCCATTTTTTTGTTTGGCACTTTTGTTCCATTCTCCCGTTTTGCTCGCCGTTGGTCTGATAGATTCCTCAGCTGTGGTCTGTGTCACTTCCGGGGCAAACGCCTCCACAGTTCACCTTGCTGTATTTCTTATGCTGACCAAGTAACTGATGTGAAGCGTGTGCTTGCAGGGCTTGGGAGTCTTTTTCCCCACCTGCCAGGTGCGGGTCTCTAGATTGTATCAGAGTTGCCTTCTCCTTCCTTCCTTTCTTCCTTCCGTCTTCCCTTCTCCTTCCTCCTTCCTGTGTAGGATCGCAACTTCGAGCTCCAGATCTCAGTGGGCACTGCCGGACCCTCAACCGCGAGCGCAGATTTTAGTGCCTATGTCCCCGTGTCAGAGAGAATGCCAGAAGATGCCCGAATAGAACGTCAGACAGAATGCCAGAAACAATGCCAGAGTGAATGCCAGAATGCCAGATAGAATGGCAGAATAGATACCAGATAGAGTGCCTGAATAGAACGTCAGATAGAATGCCGGAACAGAATATCAGATAGAATGCCAGAATAGATGCCAGATAGAATATATCAGAAAGAATGCCAGATAGAATGCCAAAGAAAACGACAAAATAGAAGCCAGAAAGGATGTCAGAATAGGCGTCAGATAGAATGCCAGAGAAAATGCCAGAATAGGATGTCATAAAACACATGCCACATACACTTCCAGATGAGATGTCAGAAACTACGACAGAATCATTTGTCAAGGTGGGGATCACTCGAAGTAACGTCATAGAAAAAAGTGTCTTGTCGCAGATCATGATCTATCTATGATTTCATCATGATCCGTATTTTTCTGGGATTCATTTGTGTTTTGCGAGAGATTTCTTTGAGAGATTTCTTCCAGGAGTTGCGTGGCTTCGTCATCAGCGCCTTGGGAACCGACCGTGGACAGCCACGGGAGCCGCCCGCGCCGTCCACGGCGCCATCATGGCACGAAGCCCTCCTGGCCACGCCGCCCCGCTCGATTAGTGCGCCGGCAGCTCTGGGGCAGGCCCAGAGGGCCCAAGTTCCAAGCTGTGGAGACCGTGGAGACCGTGGAGACCGAGATTGTTACATGACCAAGAGATACCAAGAGATACCAATAACAAATACATAGAAAAACGATATCTATTTTGAAACATATCCAAAACATTTCCAACACATTTCCAAACAACTTAGAACGACAAACATCCAGTGATACAGAGGCTGGACTCGGTTGGACTCGGATTGAATGTGTTGATCCTCGGGTGTTTTTCGAGCTGCTCCAGGTCTCCAGCCCAGAGCCACGAGCAGAGGTTCTGGCTCCAAGGCACGACCTGAGTGGGATTGGACTTGCGAAGCTCAGAGTAGACGTGTAAGGTGTGGGAGGTATGGGCGGTATGGAAGGCGTGTGAGGTGTGCGTGGAACTACGTTAGGTTACCAGGCAATGTGTTTTCACAGGGACCCAAGGCCAGCTGAACTTTTTGAATCTTTTGATTGTCAGATTGATGGAAGAAAACTGCATTTTGAAATCTTCCAGCAATGGGATATGAGGAGAGCACTGAACAGCTGGAAGAAAGATGAAAACCATTTAATATATAATTATATATATATATATATACGTATGTATAATATTATATAATTCAATATTATATAACAGATCCATTTCAGATTTTTCTTGATCGATCCTCTGGGCAGTCTTTCAAGAAAGTTCAACGTGTGCTGACCAGGCCTGCTCCAGTGAAGAAACGTGCTCCCGGCTCCTTGGTTGACCCACACGGCAGGCCAGGTGATCAGCAAGACCCAGCAATAGCAGTAAGAAAGCACGAATAGCAACACACAAAGTTGGTCAGCATGAAAGAAAAATCTGCACAATTACATAAGAAACTTGATGAGCACCTTGCTGTTGTTGCTGGATTCAGAGATTGAGATATATGTGTGTTCTGACAATCGCTGAGTCGTGAAGTGATGAACATTGTGAGACACCTACCTCGCCCTGGAGGAAAGCACGAAAAGCTGGAGCAAAGCCGTTTCAGTTGTCTGAAACGTGATGGCTGTGACTGCCATTGTATTGTCCTGGTCGCTTGTCACAAAGTTGACAGAGGGAGAAAAAGTTGGCGGCTCTCTGCGGCGCAGTAGCCCAATTCTTTGAAAGAAAGCCTTGACCACAAGTAGTTCTCTTGCAAGAGGCTGGACCTTTTTCCTCATGAGATGGAACCGAGTGACCCCACACATCCTCGGGCTTGCCTCCGGCTGGATGCAATGGACACGCAACACCTCTGCAATTCAGGGCTCAAGCATCCTAGAGGTCCTAGAGGTCCTAGAAAGCTTCAGGATGCCATGCCCTCTGTCGCTTGACTTTTAATACGACTTATGTATGACAGCTGGGAACGGCTAACGGATCGACGGATGGCCACAGCATTAAATAAGGTGTCATAACATGTCATAACTATAATTCAAACTATTGAATTCATTGTATAGACAAGAATAGATTAGACTTATTCAGATGTTACCGGAAGACCTTGGAAGCATTGCCAGTAGAATCTTGGTCCCACTGAATGCTGGAGCTGTCCTTCAGGTCTCTGCCAACAACGTAGCTACTTCTTCTATGTGGTTTGCCAACAACGTCTCCCTTTGAGGCCGGGACCCGCATCCAGCTGTGACGTCGCCAGATGTGTGGCGCTGTGAGGTGACTTGCAGCGATTTCCATGACTTATGCGACAAAATTGGCGGTGGCCTTGTGGGAGGAGGCCACACAGCAGAGATCATACTATTGACTTTGGCTGTTGTGTCAGTTCAGAAGTGATATCATTTGAAAATTCAGACTTCTTATGACATCATGTACGCATGATGTTCGATCGGCAGGTTGGCATCGAGGTGGTGCTTCTCACCTGTTTTTGCCTTGGCTTTTCCATCCTCCGAAGCCAACGAAAGCCAATAGGACTGGCATGCATCGTGTGCGTTTCAGATTAAACATTCCTATATTCCTAATTTGCCAAAGAGCGTTCCTGGTGAAGGATGCAAAAAGATTAGTGTGTCTGAAAATGCAAAGCGGCAGGGCTCGAGGTGAGACATCTCTTGAGAGGACTGTGATGATCAAAACAGGAATATCAGATTGAGAAGTTGAGCAACTCAAGAACTGTACTTGCTTCCCTACTTTTGATGTATGCTGCAATGCTGTATTGTGAGTGCATTTGTCGATGTCTACTTGAGTGTGCTTGAGTATACTTGCTGATCTCGTAGATTTGGAGGCCTTTGTCGCCAGAGAATCGACTCCATCGAGCGGAGGAACTTCTGAACGACGGGAAAGGGAGTCTTTGCTGAACAGAGGAGCTGCGCTGGTTCAGTGTGAAGCAGTGCTTCCTGGGCTTCTTGAGAGCCTAGTGGGACCATTAAAAATTCCCTTTGTTTCATCTAATTATATATATATAATATACATATATACGTAACATATGATAGTGACGTATTGCAAATAAGATTTCGGCATTTCAAAGTTCCTGTGTTGTTGAACTTCTTGCAGTGCCACCGCACTTTTGGCAAAGGTTTATCAACGTTGCATGACCTGAGGGGTGAGGCCTTGTCGGCTTTGACTGGCTCATCTTCCTCCCCTCTGCCGGGTTCCATACTAGTGCCAGACTTGGAAGGTTGATGCATTTGGAAAAAGAGCATCGCTTTCCACTGGAAACGCAGCACAGCGCTTTCATTCTTCAAAGGTAGCGCTCTTCGAAGCCCTACGGCAACGGGGTAATACGCAGCACCTATTGCGTCTTCCACAAGGTCAAGTGTTGGTTGTGCCATTGCACTGTGCTGTGTGACTGGCTGCGGCCGCACCCTCAAACTTCTGCAGGTGCCATCACCGCATGGAATGGTTTGGCGCTTGCTCAGCATGCAACTTCAAGAAATTACGGGGCAGTGCGCGAGGTGCCTGCGGACGGGCAAGCCATCTCCACAGATGAATGGCCTCACTGCATTCAGCAGCGACAGGTACATCATGTCGCCCAAGCCACTGTCATGACGACTGCGATTGGCGAGGCCAGCTGCTGCAGTTCTAGCTTCATTTAGCCTGGTTGCGGCAGATGCGATCGCAAAGACATCACTTCTAAGACAAGATTTTGGAATTGGTTGCAAGGCACTGCTCAAAGCCTATGCCAGCTGCGGGGAAGCAACAGCTCCTGAGGCTGGGCTGCAAAACAAATTGACACTTCTGTTTCAAAGAGCATCATGATGTTCGGTGCGGAATGGCTAAGTGGCATTAAGTGGCTAGGTATTGGAGTCCTTGCTGGAATTGAAGCCATCTGAAGCTGCTCTCCTGATGGCACTTGGGCTTTGTGCCCAGTCGCAATCCGTGCGCATGGCTGAGCGGCTGGCCATCTATGCAAAGCAAAAGCAGGGGCCTCAATGAAGCCATTTTGGTCTAGCTGCCTAGCTGCCTAGCTTATAGAATGGGCTAGCGCCCGGGTGCCGCCGACCCCCCCTATTTGGGGGGTCCTGCAGAGAGAGGGAGAGAGATAGATAGATGGATGGATGGATGGATAGATAGGTAGAGAGATAGAGAGGGAGAGAGATAGAGAGAGAGAGATAGACAGATAGATAGATGGACAGTTGGATAGACAGATAGGTAGATGGAGAGATAGATGGATAGATAGCTGGATGGATAGATAGATAGATGGATAGATAGATAGAGAAGGGAATGTGTCTAGTGACGTCAAGACAGGGCAAATAAACCATCGAACGGTCTGTGGGAAGCGGTTTTCTGTCAAGGACGGCATTGTGCAGGAAAAAGCGTATGTTTACATTTGCCCCGCTTGCAAAGGGAATGTGGCCAGTGACGTCAAGACAGGGAAAATAGACCATCGAACGGTCTGTGGGAACCAGTTTTCTGTAAAGGACGGCGTTGTGCAGGAAAAAGCGTATGTTTACATTTGCCCCGCTTGCAAAGGGAATGTGGCCAGTGACGTGAAGACAGGGCAAATAGACCATCGAAGGGTCTGTGGGAAGCAGTTTTCTGTCAAGGACGGCGTTGTGAAAGAGAAAGGTAGTACACGGCAAGCTGGAACGCCGAGAAGAAGCTATTGATCTGGCTTTGGGGTATCGTTTGAATTGTGTAAATGCTGGCAAACGGCAACCTTGGACGCCTAAGAGAATTGATGTGTGGCCTTGGGGTGCCTGTTGGCTGCAGGATGAAGCATGCCAAGGGATTGTTTAAGCGGCCCATAAGAAGCCATTGATGTGTGGCCTTGGGGTGGCTGTTGGCTGCAGGATGAAGCATGCCAAGGAATGTTTTAAGGGTTTTAAGGGTTTTAAGGATTTTAAGGGTTTGGGTTTTGAGGGTTTTAAGCGTTTAAGGGCTGCCAAACGGCAGGCTTGGACGCCCATAAGAAACCATTGATGTGTGGCCTTGGGGTGCCTGTTGGCTGCAGGATGAAGCATGCCAAGGGATTGTTTAAGCGGCCCATAAGAAGCCATTGATTGTGGCCTTGGGGTGGCTGTTGGCTGCAGGATGAAGCATGCCAAGGGATTGTTTAAGCTGCCCATAAGAAGCCATTGATGTGTGGCCTTGGGGTGGCTGTTGGCTGCAGGATGAAGCATGCCAAGTAAGCGTTTTAAGGGTTTTAAGGTTTTTAAGGGTTTGGAGCGTTTTAAGGGTTTAAGGGCTGGCAAACGGCAGGCTTGGACGCCAATAAGAAGCCATTGATGTGTGGCCTTGGGGTGCCTGTTGGCTGCAGGATGAAGCATGCCAAGGGATTGTTATGCAAAGGGATTGTTTAAGCGGCCCATAAGAAGCCATTGATGTGTGGCCTTGGGGTGGCTGTTGGCTGCAGGATGAAGCATGCCAAGTAAGCGTTTTAAGGGTTTTAAGGTTTTTAGGGTTTGGAGGTTTGGAGGGTTTTAAGGGTTTAAGGGCTGGCAAACGGCAGGCTTGGACGCCCATAAGAAGCCATTGATGTGTGGCCTTGGGGTGCCTGTTGGCTGCAGGATGAAGCATGCCAAGGGATTGTTTAAGCGGCCCATAAGAAGCCATTGATGTGTGGCCTTGGGGTGGCTGTTGGCTGCAGGATGCAGCATGCCATGGGAAGGGATTGTTTAAGCGGCCCATAAGAAGCCATTGATGTGTGGCCTTGGGGTGGCTGTTGGCTGCAGGATGAAGCATGCCAAGTAAGCGTTTTAAGGGTTTTAAGGTTTTTAAGGGTTTGGAGGGTTTTAAGCGTTTAAGGGCTGCCAAACGGCAGGCTTGGACGCCCATAAGAAACCATTGATGTGTGGCCTTGGGGTGCCTGTTGGCTGCAGGATGAAGCATGCCAAGGGATTGTTATGCAAAGGGATTGTTTAAGCGGCCCATAAGAAGCCATTGATGTGTGGCCTTGGGGTGGCTGTTGGCTGCAGGATGAAGCATGCCAAGTAAGCGTTTTAAGGGTTTTAAGGTTTTTAAGGGTTTGGAGGGTTTTAAGCGTTTAAGGGCTGCCAAACGGCAGGCTTGGACGCCCATAAGAAACCATTGATGTGTGGCCTTGGGGTGCCTGTTGGCTGCAGGATGAAGCATGCCAAGGGATTGTTTAAGCGGCCCATAAGAAGCCATTGATTGTGGCCTTGGGGTGGCTGTTGGCTGCAGGATGCAGCATGCCAAGGGATTGTTTAAGCGGCCCATAAGAAGCCATTGATGTGTGGCCTTGGGGTGGCTGTTGGCTGCAGGATGAAGCATGCCAAGTAAGCGTTTTAAGGGTTTTAAGGCTTTTAAGGGTTTGGAGGGTTTTAAGGGTTTAAGGGCTGGCAAACGGCAGGCTTGGACGCCCATAAGAAGCCATTGATGTGTGGCCTTGGGGTGCCTGTTGGCTGCAGGATGAAGCATGCCAAGGGATTGTTATGCAAAGGGATTGTTTAAGCGGCCCATAAGCAGCCATTGATGTGTGGCCTTGGGGTGGCTGTTGGCTGCAGGATGAAGCATGCCAAGGAAGCGTTTTAAGGGTTTTAAGGTTTTTAAGGGTTTGGAGGGTTTTAAGGGTTTAAGGGCTGGCAAACGGCAGAGTTGGACGCCCATAAGAAGCCATTGATGTGTGGCCTTGGGGTGCCTGTTAACTGCAGGATGAAGCATGCCAAGGGATTGTTTAAGCGGCCCATAAGAAGCCATTGATGGTAGCCTTGGGGTGGCTGTTGGCTGCAGGATGAAGCATGCCAAGTCAGCGTTTTAAGGGTTTCCCAAAGCATGTTATTTTCATGTCCAAATGCCCTTAAGCGGCCCATAAGAAGCCATTGATGTGTGGCCTCGGGGTGGCTGTTGGCTGCAGGATGAAGCATGCCAAGTCAGCGTTTTAAGGGTTTCCCAAAGCATGTAATTTTCATGTCCAAATGCCTGGAAGTGTTAACTGGAGGACGAAGCATGCCAGGAAAATGTTGACGCGATGTGGCCTTGGGGCAGCTTGCTGGCTGCGAGATGGGTTTGACCTTGGAAAGCGAAGAAGGAGAAGTTCCACACCTGCGGTGGTCCCAGGCGCCGCCCCTACCTTGGCCAAGGCCGGGGTCGGCGGATATGAAGCGCTTGTGACTCAGTGCAAGTCTTCAAGAAGCAAGGCTTGCATATTCAGAAGCTCATTCTTTCTCATTCTTTCTCATTCTTTCTCATTCTTTCTCATTCTTTCTCTTGCTTTTGGGATCTTTTTGGCCTTGAGCTTTGGAAACATGGACCTCTCTGTCCTTCAATATGGGAACATGGCAGGAAGGGGGTGACTTTGCCAGTCTCTGCCTCGCTCCTGAAAGTCTACAGCCAAGCCAAGCTTTGGGACAAAGCGTGCAGCGTCCACCAGGAGCTCAAAAATGCAGGTGCGATTCAGACTTCAGAGGAATATATCATTAACCATCAATGAATGCTACGTAACTGGGACTCGAACACTTTTCATTGAACATGTTCACAGAATTTCTTGGAACTCTGAAAACTTGAAACCCGCAACAAGTCAACTACTCAGCGGCACTGAAAACTGTTTCTCAGGTGTCATTCCTGACACTGCAACCTATGGAGCTCTTATCAAGGTTCCTGCCCTCGGTACTTTCCTGTGCTGTTGATTCAAAACTTCAGTGAGATTCTTGGAGGCGGCAGTCGAAGCGGGACGACATCAATTGGCACAGGATCTATTTCAGGAGAGATTGTCACCTTGTCGCCTTTCAGAATTGTAGAAATATGGTGACATCTAGGTCTCCTGGAAACTGTGCGTTCAAGGTCGGACAGCAGACTGTAGCATTTCAAACCACTGTACAGAGTTAGACAGTTGCGAAGTTAAAACTTCACTTAGGGCATGGAATATCAAACATCTGACCTCAACCTAACGCTTCGTGTGACACGATCACACTTGGAGAAATGACTGGTGGCTCTGAAGCCTGCGAGGAATCCAAGAATCCTGATGTCTGTGGCTCATTTTCTAGTCACTGCAGAGACATCACACTAAAAAGTGGTTATATCATCATAGTGCCATGAATCCATGAATCCATGAATCATCCAAAATCTGTTTTTTTTTCGGCATTTGAGACCGTGACTGGGCACGGCCATGACGGCCATGACGGCCATGACTTGATGAGGCGATGAATGTCATGTCCATGATCCGTGCAGCTGGCCGTGCTGGGGACGTGCCGAAAGCCTTGGAGTTGCTCCGCCAGCTGGAGCTCAGTGAGAGGTGCCTTTGGCCATCGGAACACAAAATGAAACTCAAAATGAAACTCAAAATGAGCCCATTCTGAGTCCATTCTGAGTCCATTCTCATCATCTATATATTCGATTTATGACTTTAATTCTTCTTTGGTTTTATTGTTTTTAAATTTAATGTGAAGGCAAATTGGAAAATTGTTGCAATTGTTGCCAAGGCAGATCGATACTACGACCTACAATTGTGCACTTGAGGCCCCATGTTTTTTTTTTCCCAAGGACTGGAGAGTTTTGGGTCCAGTTCCAATCCATGGAGATTTCCAGCCAGGCCTGTGTGGCCGGCGGCGACCGCCGCAGTGCAGACACGTTGCTGCAGCAAATGGTCAAGGTGGGGCATGTGGATGTGGTCTCGTACAATACGCCCAATGCTTAGAATTCTGAGGTTGGTTTCAAAGTCAAGAGTGAATTGAGAGTTGGTCAATATTTGCCGAGGTACATAAAACTACTTCTGCAAGGACACCTGCACAAAGAGGTTCACAAAACCTTGCAGGAGCTCCCCGGCATGGAGTTGAGATTTGCTGAGATTGCCACCATTTTGCTTTTAGGCTTTACTTTGCAGATTTTGCAGCATATTTCCAGAAGTGGCTATGTTTTCCACTTGAGTAAAACCTAGAGCATCAGTTTCTTGTGGTGTCTAACAGGACATGTGCAAGCAGGGAATCCCACCCAATGTGGTGACCTACAACTCCATCATCAAGGATTGGTACTGACTCCTTGTGGTCCTATTTGTGAAAGTTTTCTCCCAGCTCTTGCACTAGACCGAACTGTCTCAGCTTCCCTGCGCAGCCTCTGAATGTCGATTCGATGTATCCAAAGTCTTCCAGTGAGAGGGTTTCCTTACACCATGTTTTAAACTGTGTCGATGGTGATACCGTGATTCGTGATTCCTGGTACATCCTGGTACCACAGGAAGCAGCAGCAAGAGACATCACCTCTGCCTGGGATATTGCCGAGGACAGCAAGATCTCTTGCGTCGTGTACCAGTAAGATTTCAGCATGTATATATATATAATATAATATATATAATAATATATAATATATGTATATATATAATAATATATATATATATATATAATATAATATAATATAAATATATATATAATATAATATAATATATATATATAATATAATATGATATATATATATACAATATATATACACATGCGGTACGTATATTCTTCAGCACGGAAAGCTGTGACTTGTAAGATGTCAGGAGATGCAGCGTGAAGGCATTCAGCCAGATGCATATACTGCTTCTATTCTTGGTGCTGGTCGCTTGACTTCACTGAATCTGAAAGCAGCAATTTTACCAGGAAATGAAAGCTTGACAGTTTTAGGAGCCCTGTCTCCTTTCTAACGATGAGGCCTACGACGCCAGCCCAGCAAAGCAGGTTTGGACAGGGTACTTGCGCTCACGAGTGCCTTGGTTCAGTTTTATGAGCCCTTGAGTCAACTTCAGTCCGAATCATGTTGAGTTGGCGGGGATTACTATCTCACCGATACAACTTTGATTGATGTTGATTGATTTGATTTGCCCTTGAACAGCATTGAACAGGAGAAGTTCATGAACCATCATGAACCGTGTTTCTTGACGCTTACATCATCAGTTTCATGGATCCTAGTGAGGCCAGCTTCAGCCCGATGAAGTCCTGGTGAATTGTTTGTTGGACATTTGCATCCGACTCAAGGACAACGGCAGACAACGGCAGACATGTCATGTAATGTGTCAATGCAGAACTGAAGAATTTGAAGACTTGGATCCTTCCAGCGAGCCTTTAGCATTACTCAATATTACTCATGTAGATTTGGAAGCATAGAATGCAACCTTTGACCTTTCATGACCTTTCTGTCAAGATCAAATTGTGCCTTAGGAGGTGCGAGTATATGCATAGTATATGCATAGTTGCAGCAGCCGACTTGCTGAAATTTGCTGAAATTACTCATGATTCATGGGAGACCTGATGTGACCTGATCTCACTGCAACCTGCTATCTTGGTCCAGGATCGCCAGCGATTACGACAAGTGCTACTGTGGCGTGCCGATCTTTCGGCGCCTTCGGCCCATGTCTCTAAGCATGAAATTCTTCGATTTCTTTTGATTTCTTTTGATTTCTTTTGATTTCTTTTGATTTCTTTTGATTTCTTTATTGTGTATTTTTTTCAGACATTTTACAGTCCTTGTTACACAGACGGCAGTTTGAGTGTTACATGAATGGGCAAGATCGCGACCTATGACTCACCTGGCCATTTTCTTTCTTTTCTTTCTCTGCTTTGAATGAAAGAAAGGCATTCGTGATGCTGATCCGCGCTTTTGGTCATGCTCAACAAATGGATGTTTCTTGCTGGCATTAGACCCACAGCGGTTGGAGAAATGCCACTGCAGGCTAAGCTTCTTTTTGGACTGCCTCTTATGGCTTTGTGGGGCAACTGTATTGCACTTCTGATTTACATGCTTTTTGTTGAAACCTTTACCTGTCCTACATTGTTGCAGTTGCGGCAAATGACAGATGAGCCGTATGAATGCAAGGTGGACAATCATAGAATGAAAACAGAGGGCGGCAGCTTTGCAGTCCACTTTAGAATGCCGAACATTCTTCCATCCGTTCCTGGGAGCCACTAACATACTTTCTGATGGTGACTCCCATGGTATGGGTTGCTCAGGAAGCTTGGAAGATTTGGCGGCAGCTGCTGGCTGATGAGAAAGTGTTGACGGAGGACCTGCAGCGATTTGGTGGTTTTGTTCCATTTTGATCTCGTGACAACAAGCTCAAGCGAGGGCCACACTGAAATGACAGACATGACGTGACAGAAGTGACAACCGCAGGTGTCTTGTTTTTGGTGTTTTTCAGTCTTGTGAGGACATCTTCATGAGCATGGTGGATGCCTGCTTGGCGAGCTCGGACATGAGGTCCTTGCTGGAAGTGTTCCAGGAGGTGAGGTCCTGGCTGCCCGGCTTCCCCCGCGCCACTGTGGCGTTCTCCTTGGCTGTGAAGATGGCGATGCAGTTGCAACAACTGGACCTTGCATTAGAGTGCCTCGTCTAAATTCAAATAGTTCAAATTGTTTCAAATTGCTTCAAGTGGATTTTCCAAACATTTCAAAATGTTGCAAATGAGTGAAGCACGACATTGCATTTTTTTTTTGATCAAGTGGATCCAGTGGTGCATCTTTCATGCTTGGCTGACTAGAGTGCAATACTGTTCTCGGGTTCGGCCTCAATCATTGAAGAGATGTAACTGTTTTTTCGGTTTGCCATTCTGTGCAATTGCCAGGCTCTACGAAGAGACAACAGAGACTATTATCCTGAGTGTGGTGACGTACAATACCTTGATTGACGTGCCCTTGTCTTTGAATGATGGGGTGTTGATGGCGGTGATTTGTGGGAAGCATCTCAAAGAGAGTTCTTTGACTGAAAAGAGGGAAGCTCGTCTTTGCAGGAAAAGAGCAGTTTTTCTTTTTGCATCGGAAATTTTTGGACGTCTCTCGACAAACTTGCCTCTTGTGAAATTCTCTCCTGGCCTGCTCCAGACGGAGGCGCTGGTGCAAAGCGGTGCTCTCAAGCGAGCCATGGAGCTGTTCCACGACATGACGCGTCGCAACGTCGGACTGCTCCGATTGTACTGCTCTCCTTCTGAAAGTTGCTGTAGCATGCTGTAGCATGCTGTAGCTTGATAGTGTTGCTGGCAACTTTCCAGGTTTCGAACTGGACAATGAGAGCTCTTTTGGTTCTGTTCAGCAGCCAAGCGGTTCGCATGAATGAAACTGCCCATTCAATGGAACACCAGCGCTGCAGGACCAGATCTGATTACCTTCTCCATCCTTGTCAAAGGCAGAAAGTTTCCTTACTTCGCTTGTCGATGCTAGTGGATGCTTTGGTTCTTTGCTCCATTTGCAAAGCGATTTGACTCTACCGTGTGCAGTTATTGTATCATGAATGTTCAGTCTTGCCAAAGTGAAGTCGCGCTGGTCTTGCCTGCAACAGGTTTCGCAAGTGCAGGTGACCTTGAAACTGCCCTCATGCTTCTTGGTCAGATGCGCTGCCTTCAGATTCAGCCAGACTCCATTCTTTTCAACACGATCTTGACCCCTTGCTGCAGTGAAGAAGAATGGTTGCCTTGCCGTGCGTGCTTCAATGCATAATATATATATAATAATAATATAATAATAATAATTATTATTTAATATAATTACAATATAATATAAATATAATTATAATATAATAGAATTATTATTTAGTATAATTATTCTATAATATGGGTATCTCTCAAAATGAGGCGCCCTTTTTGGCTCTGAAAATGATATCACGAAAGCTAGCTTGCCAGCTGGAGTTGGATTTGCTTTAGCAATGAATTGGGGGCATACCGGACGCAGCTGCCATGATTTTTCATGTCGAACTGAGACCGCCCTCAGGCTCAAACCCCGCTGCGTCCATCCCGCTGGATCCGCTGGGTTTCATTTGTGATCACGCGTTTGCATGCCCACGCACGCACACACACACATACTATACAAGATGATATTCACCGTGAGTGTTGTGAATGTACTGCAACGTAATGGAAGACAATAGAATGTAATGTAATGCAATCTAATCTACTGTAATCTAATGTAATCTAACGTAATGGAATCCAAACTAATGCAATGTAATGTAACCTAATCTAATGTAACGTAACCTGCTCTGATGTAATGTATATAAGATAATGTAGTAATGCTGTGTAATGCAACGTAACATAACATAAAGTAATCTAATGTAATGAGATGTCATGGGAGAACGACGACTTGGAGTCTTGCATTCCAATTCCTCCAGATGTCTGCATGAAAACATGAAGCTGTCTTGGTGAGGAATGGAAGATGCGCATCTTAAGATCCCCAAGCATTTCTTGCTCGATGGATGTATGCACCTAAGTTACCAGATTCTAAGAATTTTTTGTGTAGTGGATATATATGCATGCTTTGAGTGCAACTCATCGTGCTTTGTTTCAAAGTGAATGTCGAGTGAGCAAATTATGTGTGCGAACGGCCAATGATTGGTTCAAGATAGGGTACGGTGTGGCGGGTCCGGAAATGATTCCGGCATGTTGATTTTCAGATGAAAAGGGGGTTTTGTCAAGTTGATGTTTGCAGCATCTAGCTTCTCTTCATCTAATGCGAATCTGGCTGACAAGCCATCGCGTGAGGAGGTGACGAGCTGTCGGAGCGTAGTTTCAATAGGCTACAAGTGACTTGGCCTAAGGCCAATTGAGTTTCATGTAGAAAAGGGCACCGGTCCCAGTGCAAGTTGATGTCGATGAAAGGAGGTTCAATCAGATGATTGCAAAGTGGCTCAGCCGAAGTGCAGTCGCTTGGGGCACTTTGTATTTGGCAAATAGAGTGCTAGGAGTGTATGTGCCGTTAGCGTGTCAACAACATCGAATGGTAGCTTATTTCATTTTGAAAACAAAGTTCAAAAGGTCGCGCCACATATTCTCTCAATGCACATCTCTCCTTGCCCAACTAATGCTCGCCCCTTTCCCTTTAGCCTCAACTATACTTTAAAGAAGAAAAAGACGCGCCTCATTTTGAGACATGCCCATATGCTTTTTAGCGAAGGGATTTGGGCATCCTGCAAGTTTCCGAGCAGGCCACCAAAGGGGTTTGCCATAGTGTTTTTCGCAGGTGACAGCCAGAAAAATATTTTAGACCTCCAGGATGCCTTGCCGATGTGACACTTGGTTCACTTTGAATACGACCTTTCAACCAAGGAACGGATGTGCAAAGCGCCAGATGCGGGCTCTCACTGAGCAGGTGAAAGCTGAAAGAGCGCAAAATTGTGGCAATTTTACCAGCGTGGTTGTAGATGTTGCAGGGCAACCAGTCAAAAACAAAATGTAGGGTGAAGGTTGCACATCCATATTCATGTTTAGCCACGTATCTTAGCCTTCGAAACCGAAGGTGCTGGCCGAGATGGAGAAACTTGTCTGAAACCACGGGAATTTGGATGTTGTTCTTTCATGTTCTTTCATGTTTTCTCCGCTCTTTTCTGTGCAGATTTTGACCCAGGAATGCTGGTGTTGCGCCTTCCAATTTCACATTGTCAATTTTGATCAAACTCTATGGCCGGTGTGGCGATCTGAAAGCAGCGTTTGGCGTTGTGGAAGAGTATCCCAAGCGCTTCAAGTTTCGCTTGAATGCGCAAGTTTACACCTGCCTAATGTCTACATGTATATGGAGCGGTGATCTCCCAATGGCCTTCGATGTGTACCAGACCATGCTACAAGATGGTTGCCTCGCGGATGGGAAAACTTTTGATACGTTACTCATGGGCTGCTTGAAGCACCAGGATGCCCGCAGGGCTTTGCAAGTGGTAAGAGAGGCTGCCGAATTCGGCGTTTCGGTGAATCCAGAGATGTTGGAATCAGCCGTGCTCATGGTGCGCGAGTATGGTCCGGAGCTTGGCCAAAGTTGCCATCCACGGTCGAAGAAGTGACTTGGCCCTTTGCCATCTTAGAAATCTTGGAATTGAAAGCCAGGGTTTTCAGGGGATTCGGTTCCGAAGATCATATTATGCATTTTCGAGACAGATTTCTGCTCAGGTGAAGGAGCAAGGACCGCGCGTCCTAAATTGCTGAGCAGCTTGCTGGAAGCGCTGGTTGGCAAAACAATCGAATGTTTTCCAAGCAGGTTGTACCACAAACTAGAACTGTCACAAGAAGCTACACTGCTACACTCAACGTGAATTCGTGTTTCAACCGATCAGAAAGCAACCAGGCTCCTTACTAGAAGCATTGCAAATATATGATAATAATGATGATAATAATAATCATATACATATAGAGCTTCTATATGTATATACGTATATATATGGAGAGAGAGAGAGAGAGTGAGAGCCAAGTATAAAACTCTGTCCTGCATCTGGCAGACTCCTCATGTCGCACCAGAGCTTTTCGGCTTGATTCACATTGTCCGATTTGATACTAGAACACACCAGGACTGTCAATTGGTTTTGGAGTTTTGGATGGTTTCGGCTCTTTCCATTGCAGTTGGAAGTTGTGCCTTTTCAATCTTTTTCCATGAGCAGTTGTGCTTTTCCTTGTTCTTTTCAAGTGCTACGATGCGATTCTGTGTCCTGCGGTGCCTCCATGTACCTGCCAGCTGAAGCTTCCAGGACAAGGCATGAGACCCTATGGCCTTGGCCTCCATGCTCTTTCCTGGCAACTTCTTGTGACACCTGGCAACTTTTGGCAACGATCAAAAGAGGTTTTGCAACAATATATAACATATATACATACATACATACATACATACATACATACATACATACACATGATACATACATACATACATACATACATACATACATACATACACATGTGACATACATACATACATACATACATACATACATACATACACACATACACACATACATACACATACATACATACACATACATACATACATACACACATACACACATACACACATACACACATACACACATACACACACACATACATACATACATACATACGTACATACATACATACGTACGTACGTACGTACATACATACATACATACATCATTTGTTGGACTTTTCCCATGCCAATTTGGTGACACTTGGACAACTCGACGACATACTAGAGAGAGGCAATTACTGTTAATGACATATATATATATTTATATGAATAAATGTATGTAGATACATTTTGCTGCGGCTTTTTCAAGATAATGCCTTTTGTGTGCTGGCCTTCACATTCATTTTGCTTCACTCCAGCACTTGCAAGGACAGCACTAGTTTCTTCATCCGATGCCCTGGTGAGCGTAAACCGCACTCACACGGGTGGCCTTCAAAACCACTCTAAGGCCCGCATTTTGCAATGACCACGTTAATGCAACAATGCAACATTTTGTCGATTGTGCAGCGGTGCAGCAACCGCACAGTTTGTGCTCTCGCAGATTTGAAGATGGAGCCGTTATAGATTCATGAGAGATACGAGAGCGGGCCGACGTCGGACGACCACTCGCTTGCACACCCCGATTTTCACTCGCTTGCGCACCCACTTTTCCCTCGCTTGTACATCCATGAAAATCATGATCATGATCATGGGGATCATCATCATCATCATCATCATGATCATCACCATCATCATCATCATCAACATCTTCAGTAATTAAAGAAGATTCACCTTACTCATCCGTTGCATGATTTTTTTTTGTATGGGCATCCGTTGCGTCTTGCGCGCATGTCCATCACGTCAGTGTCTGCACGAGAGCGTTAGAACGTTTTTGTCCCACCCCACCCCACCCCACCCCACCTGTAACTGATCATGAAAGCATGAAAGAGCAGCGCCTGTGTCTGCAGGACAGCAAGAAAGATGATGAGGTTGCTGTGCCTGTGTGTGCACAGGAACATGAACGTTATTGTCCCAGCCCAGTCCACCCCACCCCACCCCACCGGTATCTGATCATGAAGCAAGGAAGATGATGAGGTTGCTGTGCCTGTGTGCGCACAGGAACCTGAACGTTATTGTCCCCACCCCACCCCCCCCACCCGACCCCCCCACACCCCCCCCGTAACTGATCATGAAGCATGAAAGATCATTTCCTGTGTCTTCCATGAACAGCAAGACAGATGATGAGGTTGCGGTGCCTGAGTGTGCACAGGAACATGAACGTTATTGTCCCACCCCACCCCACCCCACCGGTAACTGATCATGAAAGAGCAGTGCCTGTGTCTGTACGAGAGCAGGAAAGATGATGAGGCTGCGGTGCCTGTGTGTGCACAGGAACATGAACGTTATTGTCCCACCCTACCCCACCCCACCTCACAGCGAACAACGATGAAAGTGCAGTGACCATTTCCAGAATGAGAGATGATGAAGGCGCGCAAGTGAGTGACATTTTGCTCACTGGGTTGCGCAAGTGAGTGAAATTACGGGTGCGCAAGTGAGGGTCTGGCCCCGACGTCAAGCTCTGCTGTTCTACTAAAGTGCAGGCGTCCATCATCACGAACCACTGAATCCAGCTAAATCTGGGGAGGTGTGAGATTGGACTTTCCCTGGTCTTGCCTGAAATGTGTTGTGGCCGTGCAGCTCTCAAGGCCACTTCAACGCAGTTTTCAAAAACCCAGGAGGCCAGGTTTGCCATAGCTGCAACATGAAACAACACACTTCCAGAGGTTAAACTTAGATGAAGCCTGGTGTCGTCATGTCAAAGTGTTTTTGGATTTGATGTGGTTTGATTGGAGGTGCCGAGATGTTAGCTGTTTTGCCTTTCAGAGGTTCTGTCACGCAAGGAAAGAGAAGAAGAAAGGAACACAAGAGAAGAAAACAGGAAGAACAAATCCAAAAACGCACTCATGCAACGGAAAAAAACAAACTGAAAAGAAAAACGGACCCTCCAGAGAATTTGTGCTTCAAAACAGCAGTTGACTTCAAAGGCTATGCCACAGCCATTGGGCAACAGGTCTTTGCCTATGTTGGAAAAAATTAAACATGCAACCACCTATGCTCACCATTTCTCACTCGTTTGACAGACACCATGTGGTTGAAGACAGTTCTGCGTGCTAGGCGCATGCCTCTTCACTGCAGTTCCCAAGACTGGTTTCGCGATCCAAAGCGACACATTCGGTGCCAGTGACAGCGACACTTGCAGCTCGGCGATGCTCTAAGACTCTAAGATCTCCCATAAATTCCCATGCCAAATCGAGCATAACCCAAGGGACAAATTGAAACTAATTGAAGGCATTTGGGAGCTGCCTGGAGATACAACAAAGATATCCCAATACATGCAAGAATGGAATCTATGGAGACTGAAAGATTGCAGTCCTTCCCTTCCTCCCCCACAGGAAGGATTGACCCCCCCCCCCCGCATGAAACATTTTCTGTTGACTTGTTTTGCTCATATCCGATTGACTCCCAGTCGAAGCAGCTAGAGCAGCACGACTTGCCAGGCAAGTTCTTGCATATGACTGCATCGCTGATTTGATTTTGAATAGCAAAAACTGCCAGCTTTGTGGGATTCTTTGCGTGTACTTCCAGCCCAACTTGAAGTGCACTGGCAATAGATGTGGAGGTCCACCACCTCTCCTGAAGCTGCACTACCATCTTGCAGCATGGCAATATATGTGCAACTTGAGAAGGGAATCGACCAGTTTCCTTTTTTGTTCTCCATCCATTTCTTTGAAAAAGCATATTGCATATTCTTGCATTATTTTCGCTTATTTTCTTCTGCTTGCATCCATGATTCATTTGGACAGACAATCCAAGACAACAATCCAATACTACAACTTGATTTCTACAACTTGACATGGCACGATTTTCTGTTGCTCAGTTCTTGTTGATGGCCGCCTGCTTGGTAGCTCTTGGCGTGCAGAAGTGCCAACCTCAGTGCTGCATCTGAACTGCTCTGTTTGCTGGGACAAGACTGCTGAAAAGAGAGGACAAACAGAAAATGGAACCCAGTGACAGGACAAAGTCCATCAAAGTCTATAAACATCCTCAGTTTCAAATGTTTCCAGACGAGAGGTTTGCACCGGTAGATTTTGTGTTTTTAAATTGTTGGACTCGAGGTACCGAATGGCTCTCAGCCAAGTCCCGCAAGATGCTGATCCTTCAGATCCTTTAGCCTACGTGTCTTGTAAGAAGTGAGACATAGTAGCAACCATGACCCAAGGACCCAAAGCAGAGAAATGCTTTACCCTCGCAGTTTCCGACTTGAGAACAAAAGCGCATGACAAATTTTGCACATCGAACAAACACGACAAAACGGCTTGGACGAGAGAGTTTTGTCAGGTCTTCAAAGCACGGCAGCTTCAGCAGTCTGAGGGCAGCCGCGGCCGTCTATGACGGTCCACCGGTGCCATTTCGCTTAGACTTTCTAGATGCCTCGGAGCAGAACATAGCGCGGAGCAACTCTGAACCGCAAGCTAGACTGCGTGTCCTGCTGTTTGCAGATGCAGATGCGAAAGTTCAAAAGCAAAAAGCACACACCACCAGAGCGGCAATATGACAATGTGGTCGGAATTTGTATCCATTTATCCATATGATCCATATGTGTGCTTTTCTTTGCAATGTTTTGAGATGATTTTGAATCTTAGAAGATATCCTGGGACGTACCAAGTGCTTCAGTGGCACCAGCTGTGGCCATTTTTTCCCTATCCTAACAGCAATAGCTGTTCGAGTAGACAGGGAATAGAAGTCACTGTTTTTCACTCAGTGCTGAAGCAAGTACCTTTGAATTTGCTGACATAGCCAGAAGATATTTGGAATTTGGCTCCAGTCTTCCAGTAGAGTCGAGTTCAAGACATGAGGTGCTGATAGGTGCTGCAAGTTATAGATGACAAGCCCTGAAAACGAAATGCAAACTTAGTGCCAGGAAGACCTACATGCAGTTCCAAAGATCATTTGTGGTCACTTCAAGCATCTTCAACCATCTTCAACCTATTATTGTATCAGATTGACAGCAGACAACCTGACTTCATCGATTCAACCCGCAGTGGGGATCAACTTTGCGATGCACGGGCAATTTCTGTTGTAATTTGGTGCGAGAATTTTCACTCGTTGTCCAAGCTGGTCTAGATCCATCTAGATCCACTTCGGATTTCAGCAGAACATATCCGCCAGACCTCACCGTCACCGTCGTCACCTTTTTTGTTGCAGGGGACAAATCTAGGTACATTTTAGATGCAGAAGGCCCTTCCCATTTTGGGCGAATGGCAATGGAACAAAACCATTGTCAAAACATCATTTGTCTGCGACATTGGTGTTCACTTTGACTGTCTATCATTTATTGCAGTGAGCAACCGCAAGACCATAAGACCTTCGCAACCCAGCAACTCAGTTGAAGGTAAAACAACACGAACAAAACAGGGCAGAGGCAGCAGAGGCAGCAGAGGCAGCAGAGGCAGCAGTACCCAGAATCATGGCCGACTACGCAGTGATTCACGATTTCACGATCAACTATTGAATCTTCTTATTGTTTTTTTCTTTCACTTTGCAGCCATGAACTCCAGCCATATCTTGGCTCGGCTGAATGCAGCAACAGAACTGCCAACGCTGAGAGGAATGGAGCTGGCGCTAGGCAGAATCTGTACTGAACAGCTCACCAGCATGAATGTTGGCACTGAAACAGTTGTTGTGTGACTTGACAAAATTAAATGAACTTGATACATCATGCTCTTGGATTTCACTCAAATGTTTCGCGATATAACAGGTGGGCTGGTTGCAATGGCACTTCTAGCGTTGCCAGTGAGAAGTTTTCTCGACACTTGGTGGATTGCAAACACTTACCACGAGTGAGATCAACATGAAACCCCATTCTTTTTGTCAGCAAAGCTTATGCTTGGGGCATCGACAAAAGCAGACGTTGGAGCAAATAATAGAAATACTTTGTTGCAAGAGATTCACAGGTTCAACACACAAACACATTCTTGGAGGAACATATACAGGTGGGAGTGTAACATTTCGTAACAGTACCACAGTTCCAACAGCATGTCAAATGACATCGATGCAGCCTACCAGGAACTATCTGCTCCACCGCGGCTGCCACAAGCACTCTTGATGTTGCTGCGGTGTGCATTGTTTCCGAGTGCAGTGGAAGAGGCGGGGTGCTTTTCATCAAGAAACTTGTTTGCTGCGTATCACAGTTGTTTGTTGGTAAAAGGGTCAGGTTCGTATGTAAAAGGGTCACGTTCGTAGATCTAAAAGAATTGTTTGGTTTGGACACTCATGGAAACTCCATGAAACTCCAAGCTTTCCTTTTTCCTTTGTTGCATATGGAGGTGTTTTGGCGGGTCTTGCTGCTGTGCCTGGGCGTGAAATTGTTAAGCTCTTGCTCTCGAAACTCAAGATTCAAGTCTTCAAGTTCTTTTCTTTCCTTCGAATGTAGGATCAAGGCATGACTCCGTATCATTTGGATTCATTTGGAAGGGAACACATGAATGTTCAACTATTCTGGAGATACAGTCAGCCATCGATGTAAGGCCCAATGTCCACATTGACGGTTCAGGCGTGTTGGAGTTTGTATTGGTGACACTGACATCTGCGAACAAATGATGATTGTGTTGAGTTCAAGGGGGCTAGAGGACATAAGACACAGATCTCGAAAGATTCTTCTGACTCTTCTGCTTCATGGTCTGTACGTTCCTTCTTTCCTTCCAACAAAGCGCGGCATAGGCAGCCCCGCCTCAGGGATGCTGGGCCAGATGACGCCTACACAGTGGAAACTCAGCTGCATTGATGCCATTCACAGATATTCACAGCTCCTTTCCAAAACTCTGGGGACAGAACTTGTGAGATCTTCTGAGAATAGGCCTCCCAAGTCAAATATCTCCAGATTCCAGGGAGAATCTCGAAGTCAGCCAGCATTTTGGATGAGAAAGTCATCACCTGACAAAATGACCAGCGTGGGTCGAAGCCAGTTTCTACGGCTGGTTGACGTTTTGCATTGGTTGTTGGGTTCAAGTGCTTCATCCAGCGGAGTTTTGGCGTGAGGTTGGTAAGATTAATGGGCTCCAACACTTCGTGATATTCACAGCTTTTCACACCTTGACGTCCTGTTCCCTTTTGAATGTTGCTATTTTGGATGAGGGTAAGGGATCATGGTGGCACGCAAGTTTGATTCCATATGCTGGTACTTGGGACTGGTGTAGAGACACCAGAGGTTTGCAAAACAGGCTCACCAAGTGTCCACTAACAACATTTCTGAATATGTCTTTGCTGCTGGGGCCGGGATATGCAAAGGCTGTGGGCCTGCGCTTGTCTGGTGCTTTTTGTGCTTTATCATATACCCTTCGGCTACGCTTTGGCGCGGCTGGGTGCTCTGCGAGATGATGGCAGGTGTGTTGCCTTGGTGTGAAGGGGTAGGTGTGGAGCGTGAACAAACAAGGCGAGTGATTGCTGATTACTGGTGGGATCGCTAAAGTTCCTCAAGATCCTCAAGATTCCTGAAGCCACCTTAAGCCTCTTTAATGCCTGTTTCAAGATCTTTCAAGTCAAAGAATTTTAAAGACGTAGAAGTCATAGAAACATATAGAAACTCTTCAGAAGCGCAGGACCTTCAGAGACCCGCGCTTCATTTGGCTGGCCTTGGTGCTGGGTACGGCTTGCAGCATGGTATATCTGGTTTCAGGCGTGAGATCCACGGTGACATGTCAGACATGTGCTCGAAACATCTTGAAACGCAGCAATCCAACAATCCCAGGAAGCCACCGAAAATGCATTCGTTTTGAGGCAACTATTGGGCCTGTGTTTTGGTCCATTGGCTTCCAGTTTGTGTTTGGCTTCTTTTGCTTGGTGGGGAGCAAAGGCGCACTCCAGCTTGTCATTGTCTTGATGGGGTGGAACCAAAGGAACATTTGTTCATGATCTGTCAGTAATCCGTGCCTAGACTGTGGCCACTGGCAGCTCCTTGCAGGCTCCGCCGCGACACCTCTTCTCCAAGCAGTGCCACGCAGTTGAGCGCTGAAAGTGACGAAAACAGGTTGAAGCGGCCAAAGACAAACTGGGACATCGTCCATGAAAATCAGGCCGCCAGGTCAGGTTTCCGGATTTTTCACAGGCATGATGTATATATAGTTGGATGTTTGATTTGTTTTGTAGCAGTCGCGGATCAAGCGTAGCGGTGGGCTTCATGGCGGGAGTCTGCTGCGGGCCATTTGGCCGACTTGAAGACCTGCCTCAAGAGCCACTTTGGCAGGGCAAATGTTCCAAATGGATGCAAGTGCGCAAATGGATATTTGATAGATGTAGATAGAGATGATTCCATAATGATTCTTTGCATCGGTTGAGTTCCAATTCGTGACGACCCCCTGGTGTCTCAGGTGATCTGGGGATGAAGATCACTGTGAGACCCATTAAGGGTGAGAGCTTTTTTGTTGAGGTCCCAGAGACGGACACAATCGAAAGCCTGAAGCATCTTGCCGACAAGCAGCTACAAGCAGCTACAAGCAGCTACAAGCAGCTAGCAAATGTCGACATGAACCAATCACGAAAGGGTATAAAATAAAGGGGGAAAAATAGCACAAGTTAGTTGTCTGCATCGAAGGTTTCCAGTGCTAAGATGCAGCCTGCCCGAGGCAAGCGATTGCAGCAGCCAAAGCTGAATACCCTCAAAGCAGGCAGAAGCTGCTGCACAACGGAAGGAGCCTTGCACTCATTAAACCCCTGGAGCTGCAAAGTCGGAGCGCTGAATCCCTGACTCTTCAAGTCTCACGTGTCATCACGTCATGGCGCACGGGATCTCCGGGATCTCATGTCCACATTGTCCACCAAGGTCCACCAAGTTGCTGTGTGTGTGCAGGTTTGGTATATTTGGTTTGGCGCTTTGTGGATTGTTCAAACATGTTCAAACCATCCCACTTGACTACCCATTCGATATATGCTTGTAAGATTGTAAGTGTATCCGAAGAACGTCCTTCTTTTGATTCCAAGGGATCGACATACAACACTGACTACGGTGAACTCACATCTTTTGGACATGAATGTAGACCACTAAGAATACGGCTTGCATGTACATTGATATTGGATGATCTTGGAATCTTGAGATTGACTGACCGGAGTCAAAATTCTGGTAAGATTCATTAGAACCCGCCCTTTGCTCCCCCAATGCTATGCTGTCTTGTGACATCTAAGGGTCTTAGACGACGGTGCCTTAGTCAGCCTCTTGCCTCGGTCATAGCAATTACACACTAGGTCGCACTTTGGCATCGTTACAATTTGACCATGACTGACATGTCATGATATTTCAATATATTTCAATATGATCAGTATGCAATTATATTGTGAAATATTGTGACATGTCCGCAACGCCGCTCAGCATTTACTTTATGCTTGTTGACTTGCGTGACTTGCCCCTTCAGGTACTTATGGGATCACTGAGAAGGAATTTGTCGTGGTATTCTTGGTGAAATCGGAGCCGAAGCCTTGTCTTGACAAGACCAGCTCTACGGAAATCCAGCCGGTGCAGCCGGCTGTGACGCCTGCTGAAGCTCCAGCAGCTAACTCCAGTGCCAGCGGTTCAAGGCTGGAAGCGGTATTTTGCTCTGCAGGACCCACATTTCACAGCCATTTCTGAGGGATTTCCGTGATTTTCCATACTCACTACAAGTTGTTTTGTTTTTTCTTCCTTCCAGTTTGTTATACTAGTATGTACATTTTTTTCCCATACGGTCCATTGATGCTTTACGCCGCGACCGATGTCTCTGGATGTTGAATTCAAAGGAAAAGGGTGATGAGGCACTCACCTTGCGAAGTCTGTACAGAGATGGTCACTGTACTTGGTCATTGTCATGGCCATCCATCTCTTAAGGTCTTCAGCAGAGGGCTCTGGCTTCTCACTCACCTTGTGGCGGTCTATGCCTCTGCGTATGGCATCGGCTAAAGCGCCGCAAAATGCAGGAGGGTATTCTTTGAGATACCCTGTCTGCCATTGACCTGCTTGATTCAATCCGATCGCCTTTCCCTTGGGTAACTCGGAGCGCGTCATCCATTTGCGTAAATCCAATGGAAGGTCCGGGAGATTGATCACCATGAGGTCAGTGGGCTTCGGTGAAGGCGCACCAAATAGGCCCTGCGCTAGCCGTCTTTTGGTAACTCCCGGTAACGCCAAGAGTGCTTTGACGATAGGGAGTTTCCAAATGGATGCAGCAGCATCCTCATTGGGCTCAGCAGGATGTTCGACTATCCCAATGCCTCCAGTCTGGATCATCACGCAAGCAATGAGGAGCGTGAAGGTGAGCAGCTCGTTGCCAATGGCGATCTGCACCAACTCTTTCAGCGCTAGACTGGGTAGTCCCCAGAGATGGTCTTCCGAACGGATGACTCTGGGGGCTTTGCGATCTGGGTTTTGCCCCTTGACTGCCTTGCCTCTGGCGCGAGACCAGGTCTCGCAGGGCGGCCCGGCAAGGAAGCCCACAATGAGGCCTTCCTGAGCTTTCAGCAACCAATATGTCCTCGTCCTGTCAGCAGTGACATCTCCCCAAGTGGAGTCAATGACGATGTCGACGCTGACGACATGGAGCACATAGTTGCTGGGTGGCTGCATGCGGTCTAAATAGAATTGGAGGTCTCCTCTGCGTCTTCGTCCCGCAAAAAGGTGCAGAAAGACTCGATGTTTTCCAAAAGATCGAGGGATTGCATCATGGTCCGACCAGTCTGTCACAGCTATGTCATTGCACTCCCTCTCCATTGCACTTCTCGTATTGATCTTGGAGTGCCGGGTCACATCGAGATCCCAAGTGCCAGGAATTTGCAGGTCTCGGAGTCCCTTCTGCACTTGCAGAAGGGTTTCATCCCAGTGTGTCACATCTGTGTCGGCCAGGGTGTCCTCGAAGTAGAGCAGCGTTCGTGTCCACATAGTCCATGACATAGACCTCTCCTCCGGGATTCGCTGGATGCGGTCCAACGCTGTCTGCAGCGTCGGCGTCTCAAGGAAGATCTCCATGAGTTCCATATGCAAATCTCCATCAATGCCTGGATCTTCTCGAAGTCTCGGCATCTGCTGCTGCGGCCCTTCTTGTCGAAGCGGCGGGAGAAGCCTGTCGTGTTGTTGTTTGAGATCGCGGTCTTGTGTTGAGCCAGCACCTGGTTCTGGGGTGCACACGTAGTTTCGACTTTGCAGGAGACGGCGGCAACTTGTGGAATAGTACAGGTGCGCAATGACCTTCTCCATGGTATGATATTCTTTAAGGCAGGCAGGACAGCCCGTGGTGTCGACCAGTCTGCGACGCTGAGCTTGTTGTCCATGTGCCTTGAACATGTGAGCTGCCTCTCCTGCACGGGTCCTACAGCGCTTGCGACATGTAAGACATCCGAACGTCTCTTTGGTAATCTGCTCATCCTCAATGTCATGCGGTTCATAGCCGAGGAGGGCTCGGAAACGCTGGATCATACTGTGGTGGAAATTTAGCAGGTGCCATTCGTTGCATCGCTGTAAGATGGCATGTTCGCAGGCTCTGCGAACCAGCTTTCTCCAGTATGTCCTGTTGTGTAGGATCAGGTCCTTCCATTGTGCCCAGTGCACTTTGGGATCACCGAGTCCAGAACTGTTGCGGAGTTGTGTCCATAGCCAGTGCATGTCGTCCTCAACAAGGAGGGTCCATTGTTTATCTTGTTCAAGAAGTCCCCATTCCTGTCTCGGCCCACTGTGCAACAGGGTGGCTACATATCTCAATCTTGCTCTGCGGATGAGTTCTAAAGGGCTCGGTAATCTCACCATGGAAAGAACTTCAAGATCATGGAGGTGCTGGTCATGCGAGACTGGTAACAGCCTCCGATAGAGTCTGATGGTAGCTGCGTGGAAATACTTCTCCGTCTTGTCGTCTGTGACAACCCATGTGTCGGCCCCATAAAGCAGTTTGCTCAGGATCAGTGCTTCAAAGAGTTGCACGCGCTTCTTCATCGGTAGCGCCCAATTTCTGAAAATCAGTTTGCTATGCTGGGTCATGGCAGCATTGGCAATTGCAATTCGTCGCTTGATCTCGGCCTGCTGGTCCGCCACATGGTGGAGAAGTCCTCCTAGATGACAATAACGCGACGTCACCGGAACTTGATAAGTTCCATATTCACACACTATCGGGATGAATCCAGTCGCGTGAGCTCCATAGATGTCCTTCTTGTGTTGTCGCGATGCCACACCTCGCAGTGAGAAAAGGATCTCAGTCTTGTTCGGCTGCAGGTTGGGAGTCATACAATGTTCCATGCAAAGCTCAAGTAGACGGCCTGTCGCCACAGCCGTACGCTGCACAGTCTGTGCAGGACTGCTTCCTTCCACACAAACGCAAAGGTCATCCATCCACGTAGGTCCAATGAACGCATCGCGCGCACCTGCTTCATGACTCACCTCCTCAAAGAGCATCAGCGTGGGTCGGTGCGCAAACTCACTGATGATGCCCTGTTGCTTCATGAAGGTTTGGAGTTTCTGCAAGACCACCGCCCAGACATAGCTGAAAATCACGTCAGCGAATGGGTCTCCTGGCCTGGAGCCATGGGTCGTTTGCACAACATCTGTCTGTTGCTGCATCCAGAAGAACGTTTGTGAATGCACAGCTCGTATGCAGCGTCGCTGCTGCTCTGTCATACCTGCCTGTTCTAAGGCACTGGGATCACAAAGTGCTCTACGAAGCTCCCGCATGGCATCCTCTGGCATCTGTAGGCGACTCATCAGATGTGCAATGGCCTGGTCGGTGACCGGTCCGTCCATGCAGAGAGGTCGAAAGATGCGATAGAAGGCCTCTTTGAGGTCCAATAGCACAAGTGCACATGAGCGGCCATGATGTCAAGCTTGACGATGAAAGGCCCTGGCCAGGTGGACACCATACGTAACAGGCATAGCCCGTCGTCCTCCTAGCTGTTGCGCTTGTAAGAAGCTCTCAAAGATGGCGGCTTGGGAGCTTCGGATGGTGCGATGCAATGATTTACCGATGTGGCTCGAAATCAGTAAGGAGCGGTATGAGCTGCATTGGGTGGTTGGTCCTTTCCCTTTGTAAGCTTGTACCAGCAAACCACCCTTGTACTTCAGCGTCTCGTGACCAAAAAGAAGCAGCTTCCATAGTGAGGAGTACGTTGCCTTGGCACAGGCCGCAGGAGCATGATGGCAAAGCTCGCCTGGCACTCTGTCAGGTCCTGTGGCCTTGCCAGAAGCCACTCTTCTGTACGCAAGTTCAAGGTCCACCAAAGTGGGCAAAGTGTCGGTCTTCGTCATGAACGGCTCTGTTTTATCAGCTCCCATCGCATCAACCCAATTGGAATGCAACTCGTCCAAGGATTGCCTGTGGCCTCCCTCCATGTCAGCAAAAAACTGAATCCACAGTTGTAGAGCCTCATCAGGTGTTCGACAGGGCGTGCCATCAGTCTTCACCAGCATCGGTAGTGTTCTTTTCTTCTGCTTTTTTGGGTTCGTTGGGCCCATAAAACCTCGCAAGATATGCAAAATGCTGGAGGCCTCCGTATTCTCAGTGACCTGCGCAAGGCATTGTTCCATGAGTTGGACTTTGGCAGTCTTCAGCATGTTGCGGATCTGCCATCATTTTGTCCGATACTGGGCAAGAAGGAGAAATGCATCACATCGAAGTGATGCGCCGTACAGGAAGTGCTCATAGTTGAATGGTGATGACTTCCTGGTCTTCCAAGCATTGAAAGTCAACCAAATCGCTTCGCGTCCAATGCGCTGTCGGACTTGCTTCAGGCTCTTCTGGTTGGCGATCATCTGTCTCCTCTTCTCCCAGATCTCTTCATTGATATAGCACTTTTTGGGCTTGGCAGCGCTGCGTTGTTGACGTCTCAGGATGTCAGCCACCTGAGTGCTGAAATCTTTCTCCTGAGTTTCCACATCAGTGTTCCACTCAGGAATCTGTATCTTGTGCATCGCTTCACGAACAGCCTGCTGCGTATCGTTGAGATGCCATGCAACTGCTGGAATTGGTTTCGGCTGGGCGGTGATCGCACATGTCTGCCACCAGCTCAATTCAAGACCGACAGCTTGATGATCGCATCTTGTTGTTGCTAGGTCAAAATCGCTGAGGACTTCTGATTTGGTGCAGTAGTCTCGCCATGCGCGTGGAATGGCAACATAGTCGATGCAGGAGGTCGCTGTTCCATCCGGTCTGGTCCAAGTGTCGCGTTGCCCGCTGTGAACATGTGATGTCGACGGCAGGCACATATCGTGCTTAGTCAGGCACTCCCTGAAAAAGATTGTGTTGGTCGAGGTCCTAAGACCTTGACAGTACACAGTGCTACCATCGGCTCGGCCCGGCTCTGCGTTCGCAGCTATGAGCCAAAAACAGTTGCACGTGGCACCATGGTCCGTGAGGATCTCTGCCGTCTCAGTCCACCAACTTTCACGCTCATCTCTTGGTCTGCCGCTGTGGGGCGCGTGTGCCGCAAAGAACCATCCATCAAAAAAGGTTGATGTGACACGTAGAAGGAGGCGTCGAGAGTCTTTCCAAACTACCTGACAATGTTGTGCCGCAAGATAGTGGGGTACACCCTTGTCGGTGGTTGCGATAGGTTGGTCAAGGTTGATC